AGCTGATGTATCATACCTTTGGAACCTCAGCCACCAACCATAGGAGTGGGGCCAGCTCATTTCATACTCTGCCTTTCCTACCAATCTCTGTGTCTTCCACTATAAATCCTTGGCAAGAAGGCCTCTCTTCAGCTAATCTTCAATTGGTCACCCAGGATGATTGTTGGATAATTGTTTTAATTCCAGTTCAGTCCTGGGAGGAGGTGAGTGTTGCTTTCCCTACTCCTCTGCCATCTTGGATCCCCACCCTCATCTCTATCCTTTTTAAAGAGTATCTTCCACCACTACTGTCCTTTTTTTAGGATTGCATTCCTTTTTACAATTACCTCAGTCTTCAAAAAGTTTTTCTACTTTTTACCACTACTTTACCTCAAAATTTATTAGACTTTCTGCACCTTTTTAAACCTGGAGCTATTGATATCATACTGGTGTTGCACTCAACCTGGTGTATACTCTGGACTGACTTGGATTTCTGATTTGGTCTGTTGGATATGCATTATTTTATTTTCCCTTATTTTAGATTGTGGGGCATATATTCCCATGCCCATATTTTTTAATCGCCTTGCAATGAAACTGTAGTTCTTTTAAAAGAGATTTTAGTATATTCTTTTGTACATGAGAACACAATACTACCAACATAATCATTAAAACATAATGTTATTTATTCTTTGTTAGTTTTGGTTATTGTTTTACAAATAAGTATGCAGTACATTGAAACAGTTACACATATTAAAAACAAATTTTGATTGACTTAAGCCCCATCATTATGAATTATCAAGTCAGAACAGAATTACTCTTGTGGACTCTTTGTTCTCATACCTAACCTTTTCTAACTGTAAGGAAGATGATTGTTTGAATTCAGAATTAAAGAGGGTAAGGAGCAACTAGTCCCTGCAAGTCATCTCTGCCATTAGGTCTGATGAATTGGTTATTGCTTACCTATGGCTTCTTAACTCTGCTTACATATAAGTGAGTTCTTCATTCTATGTGAGTTGGTCTAGGTATTACAAGATCTTAATCTGAAGGTTATATTATATCATAAAGTGATTTTAAAAATAAGAAAGGAGTCAAGGGAAGAGATTAAAAAGAGAACAGGTTTTATAGGACCAGAGAAATCAGTATGAATAAATAATATATAAGAGAGAATAATAGAAAGGAAGGGCTCTCATAGAATGATATAAATAAGTTTATGCTACGTCCTTCACTTATATCTTTAAATCATTCTCTTCTTAGTTTCTCATTTCTTGAAATAAGATTTTTAAAAAGAAAAGGACTTTTGGGTAGAATGATGTGAGTCAGGAAATACTTTACTGAATATCCTGATAATGCTCTGTTTATTTCTGGTCTCTATTTGTCATTAATACTTTAATTGTAATTATCTGAGGTAATTTTAACTTTTTATTTAAAACTGTAGGCTCTTGACTCATTGTAGTGTCCTCTTGGATGTAGGAAATTAGGTGGAAACAATAGGAGCTAACAGCAAAGAATTTCATGAAGAGCAGTAAGAACGATTTGTTCATCCTGCCCAGGTGAATGTTTATAGTTAAGAGAACTTCCCAGCATCTAAAAGTAATAGACATAGAAGCTAAATTTAAATCTTAATTCAAGTGGTATTTGTGATCTTCATATTTATGAATCTTTAATTCTGTAGCACATCAGTATTTTTCTTAAAAAAAAAAAAACCTCCATAAAGGACTTATCACTTCGGAGTTTTTTATTAACTATACAAGAATTGTGTTTATTTAAAATAAAGGATTCTGTAGAGCAGTGGTTTTCTAACTTTAGTAGTATATCGGAATCATCTAGAGGGATTTTTAAAACATAGTTTGTTGAATGTCACACTGTATTTCTGATTCAGTAACTCTGAGAAGATGCCAAAGAGTTTGCATTTTTTTCCCCACATGCCATTTAAAAAATTTTTTTCAGTTACTGTTTACATTCAATATTATCTGTATTAGTTTCGGATGTACAGCATAATGGTTAGAAAATCATATACTTTACAGAGTGATCCCACTGATACTTCAACTACCCACCTGGTTCCATACATGGTTATTACAGTATTATTGACTGTATTCCCTATGTTGTGATTTATATATCTGTGACTACTCTGTAACTACCAATTTGTACTTCTCAATCCCTTCAGCCCTTTCATCCAGTCTCCCAAACCCCCTTCCCTCTTTCAGCCGTCACTCTGTCAGACTCAGTGTCTGAGTCTGTTTTTATTTTATTTGTTTATTTTGTTCTTTATATTCCACATATAAGTGAAATCATATGGTATTTGTCCTTCTCTTATTTTACATAGCATAATACCCTCTGTCCGTCAATGCTTTTGGAAAAGATAAGACTTCATTCTTTTTTATGGCTGAGTAATTTTCCATCATAAAAATATACCACAACTTTTTTATCCACTCATCTTCTGATGGGCACTTGGGCTGCTTCCAGATCTTGGCTATTGTAAATAATGATGCAGTGAACATAGGGATGCATATATTCTTTCAAATTATTGTTTCAAGTTTGTACAGAAAAATCTCCAGAAGTAGCATCAGTGGGTCAGAAGGCAATTTCATGTTTATTTTTTTGAGGAACCTTCACACTCTTTTCCATAGTGGTTGTACCAATCTGTATTCCCACCAACAGTGCAGTAGGGTTTGCTTTTCTCCACATCCTTGCTAACACTTGTTTGTTGATTTATTATGATAGCCTTTCTGATAGGCTTAAGATGGTATCTCATTGTGGTGGTTTGTATTTCTCTGATGATTAGTGATGTTGACCAACTTTTCATGTGTATTGGCCATCCGTATGTCTTTGGAGAAGTGTCTATTCAGGTCTTCTGCCCACTTTTTAATTGGATTGTTTGATTTTTTTATATTAAATTTTATGAGTTCTTCATATACTGTATTATGCTGTGAATAATGCACACTTTTTTGCCCAAATTTTTGAGGGAAAAATAAGGATGCGCATTGTACATGGGTATAATAATGGGCATAATAATCCCATATATAATATGCACAAAAACCGTGGGTGTGCATTATGCATGGGAGCACATTATACATGACAAAATATGGTACTTTTGGATATTAAACCCTTACCACAGCATCGTTTGCAAATATCCTCTCCCATTCAGTAGGTTGCTTTTTTGTTTTGTTGATGGTTTTCTTTGCTGTGCAAAAGCTTTTTAGTCCAATATAGTCCCATTTGTATATTTTTGGTTTTGTCGCCTTTCCTCAAGGAGGTATTTCCCCAAAAAATATTTCTAAGATTGTTGTCAAATAATTTACTGCCTATTTTTTTTCTAGGAGTTTTATGGTTTCAGGGCTTACATTTAAGTCTTTAATCCATCTTGAGTTCATTCTTGTATGTAGTATAAGGAGGCGATCTAGTTGCATATTTTTGCATGTATCCAGTTTACCCAACAACATTTATTGAATAGACTGTCTTTACCTCATTGTATGTTTTTGCTCTGTTTCATAGGTTAATTGACCATATAGGCATGGGTTTATTTCTGGACTTCTGTTGCCATTTAGGATCTTTTGTGTTTCCATTTAAATTTTTTAATTATTTGTTCCAGTTCTGTGAAATATGCCATTGGTACATTGATAGGAATTGTATTGAATTCCTATCAATGTACCTTTAGATTTCTTTGGGAAGTATGGACATTTTAATAATGTTAATTCTTCCTCTTTATGAACATGGTATATGCTTCTATTTATTGGTATCTTATTAGATTCTTTCTTCAAGTCTTAAAATTACGGAGTACAGGTCTTTTCACTCTTTGGTTAAATTTATTGCTAGGTTTTTGTGGTGGGGGGCGTTTGTATGTAATTGTAAATGGGATTGTTTTCTCACTTTTTCCCTTTCTGATAGTTAATTTTTGGTGTACAAAAATGCAACCATTTCCTCAATATTAATTTTGTATCCCGCTACTTTACTGAATCTTTAAGGTTGTCTACATACATAAGCATGTTATCTGGCAAATAATGACAGTTTTACTTCTTCCTTTCCAATTTGGATGTCTTTGTTTTCTTTTCCTGTCTGATTGCTGAAGCTAAGACTTTCAGTAGTACAGTATGGTCAATAAACATGGTGAAAGTGGATGCCCCAGTGTTGTTTCTGATCTAAAGGGAAATGCTTTTGGTGTTCACTGTTGAGTATGATGTTGGCTGTGGGTCTGTCATAAATGGCCTTTATTACATTGAGGTATGTTTCCTCTATTCCCATTTTGCTGAGAGTTCTTTCATAAATGGTTCTAGATTTTCTGAAATGCTTTTGCTGCATCTATTGATACAGTCATGATTTTTATTCTTTATTTTGTTTATGTGGTGTATCAAGTTAGTTGATTTGTAGATATTATAGCAACCGAGTGTCCCAGGAATTAATCCCACTTGATCATGGTGTATAACCTTTTTAATGTATTCCTGCATCCAATTTCCTAGTATTTTGTTGAGGATTTTTACATCTATCTTCATCAGGGATATTGGCCTATGATTTTTTTTCTTTGTGTGTGTTTATCTGATTTTGGAATTATGGTAATGCTGGCCTTGTAAAATGAGATTGAGAGTCTTCCCTCCTCTTGAATTTTTTTGAAAACTTTGAGAAAGATAGGTATTAGTTCTTCTTGAATATTTGGTAAAATTTATCTGTGAAGCCATCTGGTCCAGATTTGTGTGTTGGGAGTGTTTAGATTACTGCTTCAATTTCATTAGTTGTATCAGTCTATTCACATTTTCTGGTTTTTTTCTTGATTCAGTTTTGGTCTCATATATTTCTAGAAAGGGAGTTTGCATTTCTACCAAGCTCCCAGGCAATGGTAAAACCGCTGGTCCTCAAACCATGCTTTGAGAGCCACTGCAGTACAGTATTAATCACAGAAATCTGGGACGGAGCTAAAGCAAATCTGTTCTGAATGAATGCTGAGTCGCTTGTACTATAAGTACATTTTATCTTTAGGATGGGTACTCAAGTGATCATTTAATGTAGTTATCTTTTATTTATTTTCATAGATTGGAGCATATGATCAACAAATATGGGAAAAATCTGTTGAACAAAGAGAAATCAAGGTAATATGTATATTTCATTTCATACATTCTGAAACATAGTTCTGTAAATTATTAACCATATTTTATATAGTATATTCACGTATACTTTTAAGGTATAAATTAATATAATTTCATCCAACTTTTAAATAAAGAAGGTAAACTTTTATGATGGCATAGTTCTGTGTCTTTAGCTTTGATTTCTTTTTTGCTTTTTAGCATATTTCTGTTCTTCTAAAATTTAATGTTTAATAATTATTTTTTGTCAGCTCTTTTCCACTTTCACTTGTCACCTTATACTTCTAGTTTGCATTTCCTCTCTTTTGATGCTGTCATTGCTCTGTACAGTTTATTAAACTGGTAAGTGTTTCAGGACTTTGCCCGCCTGAGTGATCCTGTGCAAATGCTGCTCTTCTTAATTAAGACCTGCTTTTTCGTGCTACTAACAGAATGAGTTGGACGCAAATAGAACTGCTAAAAATTTGGTCACCTTAGAAAGGAATTTAGGAAAACAAAGCTTTAACTAAAATGTTTTTGGTGTAGGCAGTTTCTCCTTGAATATGCAACCACTTATGCTAAGACATTCTCATAGGCTACCTTGCTAGCATGAAAATTATTTTTTAACTAAATGTATTGTTTCTCAGCAATTGCTGCTCCTTGGTAATAAGATTTATTTTTTATTTGCATAGGTAATACTAATCAGTGTGGTCCTGCACGAGCTAAGTTTAATCTGGGCCCAGAGAATGTTACTTGAGTTGCTTGACATTTTCTATTTTGTACAGAAAAGTTTACATTAGATTGAGAACGAATGACTCTTAATTACCTTCAAAGTCTGTCCCCAAAAATCTGTGTTTAGAAAACTTAGTCATCTATAATAAAGAGCAAGGTTCTCTGACATTTCTTAATTTTAATTTTTAAACTATTTGCATGAGGGATTAATACAGTTAACGTTTCAGGATTACCCAATATGTATTGAATATAGGATTAAATAATAGGAACAAAATAATGAAATAGATTATCATTTTGTAGATGAGATACTCAATTACAAATGAGACTAATCCAGTTAAGGGAAGGATGTATAGGTCTCTTTAGGGGAGCTCGGAGTGAAATAGCCCTGCAGAGGTTAGGAAAGATTTCACAAAGGAAGTGACTCATGAGCAAAGTTAGAGAAACATTAAGGAGAATGAATAAATTGTTCCAGATAGAATGAAGACCATATGAAGATATTCATAAAGGAAGGAAGGAACATGACTCCTCAAGAAGCTTGATTGGTAACAGGTTGGATGGAGGAGGGAAATTAGAAATGAAAATGTAAGTCACATCATGAAGGAGCTTGACTGCCTTACCCAAGAATCTAGAAACAATTTGGAAAACAATGCGGGAGACATTGAAAGATTTGAAGGAGGAAGGTTACCTGATTAAATTCATATTTTTACAACTTTTCTGTGTGATGGCAAATGCTAGAATAGGAGCAGATGAAGAATTCTGTTTTAATCCATGTGGTTTATCCATGTGGAAATATCCATGTGGTATGTGTGTGACAGATTTAGGAGTTCTCAGTATTTAAAGTGCATATGCACATTATGTAGATGCATCTATAGGAGTGAGTGGATTTCCATTTAATGATGAAAGAAGAAAACTGAGAATGGAACATTGGGAAACATCAATATTTAATGGGTAGGTAAGGAAGAGGAGATGTAAATGAAGGAGGAAAGAAAAGTAAGAAATTCATCAGACAGTCGTCTGGTGAATTGAAATAGTCTAGAGTTGGAATAACCAAGCAAATAAAAAGCAGCAGAGAGGTCTAGTAAGAAGCGTTAAAATCTCTTATTCTTTCAGACAGTCTTTAACTTGTCAGACAGAGAATATTAAGTATTTTGAGAAGTTGTTACCAGTTGGCACATTTGAATATTTTATGAAATTTAAAAACATCTCAAATATATGTATGTGTGTGTGTATATATATATATAATTTTTTAGTTGTAAGCCACTCATCACAAATTACATCATTAGTTATGTAATTTCATCATTGTTACTTATTTCAAACCCTTGTATTGAGGGCCGACTTTCAATAGATTGCAATGAGGGAGCTGCTCTGCCAGCTCTGAAACCACAGCCCAGGAACAGGTCGTCTACAATGGTTTAGCACCAGATTCCCCAGAGCATGCCCTGCATGATAGGTGAGGGGGCAGCCCCCTTTCTGGCCGCACCCCATTTCTAGGAAAACGGACTCTCTGTACTGGACCCTGGTCCTTGTAATTTTCTCATTTTTAAAAGAACTATTTTAATGCCTAAATAGAGGTTAGGATAAAAAAAGGACTATATTAGTTGTTTTTTGGTACGCTGACAGGATGAATTTAGGGAAGGCTAAAACCTACAACTTGTTTCTGAAATATGTCTGCCTTTAAAGATAATACTTTGTAATAGTAACTGAAGAATTAAAACAGTAATAAAATTTACTCTTGTTATTTTATGTTAAAAGGATCACTGTGTTGACAAGCCTAAAACCATTCTTACTAAACATTCTAGTGGAGGCATATTCTTTATAGCGTAAAATAATTTTGCATTCATTCTAAGAAAGGTGGACAAGTGCACAGCTCGTGTATTAATGTTAACTATTTGATTTAAAAAAAAACAAAAACATTGTACCTGTGGCACAGAGAATACTGTTTCCAATGTACTGAGTTCATCCTTCTATGTTATCAGTTTGCTCATATGTCAAGCAATGAGCAACAACTAAAGAAATAAAAGAAAGCCATGAAATTATATATTTTGGAAATGTTTATCTTTTTAAATTAAAAACCAAAAATTTATATTGCTAAAGTGTTGACTTTTGTTAGTTGCAAATTATTTTTTCTTAAACTTTGAAAAAGTTATAACTGAAAGCTTTTATTTTCTTATCATCTTGACCCAAATTTAAAATTAAATGTGGAATTTCCCATTGGTTTAGTACCTAATACAGTTTTAAAGCTTCAACAAAAAGAACGAGATTGTTTAAAGTCATTCCAGAGGAAAAATGGGATGGGGGGAACTAAACAGGATTTCCAGAAAGTGAAACTGATGGTTACATTCTTCAGTAGAGTCTAAGTGTTATAATAGGTCCAAGTATGGAAGTCTGAGTCATTGAACCAAAGTATTTTCTAAACTTAAACAGCCCTGTTAGGTTTTTTGGCTTGACATTATCTGTATACTTATATATTTTTTTAAATTAAAAACTTCATACTATTTGTGTCATTGCACTTCAGGAATGTACTATAGGAATTTAAATATATATTCAGTAAAAAATATGTTATTTGAATTCTTGGAGATTAATTGTATTTGTACTACTTGATTGTTTCTAGTTTCTAGTTAAACTAGTAACTTTTAAAATCTTTTTTAAAACTGACTTAGTTTTCATTTTTTGTTTGTTCACTTAAACTTTTTAGTTACATTTTCTTTTTATTGAGGTACCAGTGGTTAATAACAGTACATAAGATTCATGTGTACAGGATAATTCGGTATCTGTATATACTATGGCATGCTCACCACCAAAAGTCTATTGTCACCACTTAAAAATTTTGAAGGCCCATAATTGTATTTAGTACTGAAAGCTATGTCTTTTTATATGGATCTAGTTTACTTTAAACCAATTTTCCAACTTAAATATGTACTTAATTAAAATCAGATTTTATGAATGCTCGTATCTTGGTGCTAATATCTTTTATTTTTGTGAACAAGATAATAATAGAAAATTAATCAGTGTAATTTTCTTTTTCTTTTTTTTAAACCCTTGAAATACTCTGATAGGCTACCTTGAAGAGGAAGTTTTATGAAAACTGGTCATTACATTATGACTTTACAATGTAACTCAAAATAAATGCTCTAATGAAAGATAAAATAGAAAATTAACTGCATATAAAAAGGTCAGGTAGAATGAACATGGTGAAAAACAGCATAATGGCCTAAGACAAGATAATATGCTATTCCTCTTATAAGGACCTCAAGTTATTAAAACAATCTTGATAAAAACTTTAGTTATATAACAGTAAATTTAGATTTGTGGTAAAACATTGGCTATAAGGTTATTTTCAAACTATTTTTAAAGAATGTATGAAAAACAAGTAAATTAAATGTTACTGTTCTTAAATGTATTGGCACTAATAAAAGTAAAAATCTCATAATAAATGTCATACCAAATCTAAATAGTACTCTATTAATGAAATTTTATTAAACGTATGTATTATTAGAATTACCTTTCCAATTTGCAAATTATCAGGAATGATTCATAGTCTGTTAGCTGCTTTATCATGACATTAAAATGGGAAATGAAGTTCAGGTGTAGTTGATTCTCATTCACAGTAGTTATTTTCTGTAAAGTCACCATGAACACTAATTAGTGAATACTGACCATTGCCCCTAGGAGAAATACAGAGTTAAGTTCCTTCAGGCCTCTAGCCACAACGCTTTCTTCAACTGATCAGTACATAACCTTGTTTAAGTGTGTTTCTGTTTAAAAACCCCTTATTTAATATGTATTATTGGTTTCATTAACATTGAACTCATGGCCAAAAATACTGTATGTGGGGGGACCCAAAAAAACCTGGAATTTTTTTATAGAAAATTGTGTATTTATTCTTACATGTTTAAATTTCAGTCACCTTCAAAGTACTCTCCATTTCATGCAATACTCCTAGTGAGACTTTTTTCCACTGCTCAAAAACAGTTTTTGAATTTGTCGATTTTGGTGCCTTTCAGTGCTTCTGCCATTTTTTGTTTCACCTCTTCCACATTAGCAAAACGTTTCCCTTTGAGGACTTTCTTAACGTGAGGAAAGAAAAGTCACTCAAGGCGAGATTGGTATGAATAGAGAGGGTGGAGCATGGGGATCATGACATTTTGAGTCAAAAACTGCCAAACACTAAGTGTGGTGTAGGCAGGTGAGCTCATAAATCACCTGTCATGAAATGGACAAACACGTTGAAAGAGTCTTCAGAAAAATTCACTGAAGTTGAATACAGCCTCTCACAATAACACCAGCTGGTACACTGATACACATAGGTTCCTAGACCACTCACCTAGTAGGGACAGCATGTTACTAAAAGGCACCCACCCACCTTACAGAAGACAATTCCGGGTTTTTGGAGTCCCCCCTTGTGACTGTGCCTAAACAGATCTTATCTGACACGTTTTCTCAGAGGCACCACAGCCTTTTTGCGTTTAGAAGCACTAGACAGCACTTGGACACTATGCTAAAGGGCTATTTTAAACAAAAAAATTATCAACAAAAAGCACCCCAAAAATGCAGAATATACATACAGCACTCAATAGACTGTGAAAAGGACACTTAATTACAATATTGAGATCTGAAACAAGAAAGCAGAGCATTGCCCCGTTTGACCTCAGCTGGGAATGTGCACATTGGGTGACCCATTTTTTACTACGGACAGTCTGCACATGTTTGCAAAGGACTGCAAAGGCACAAGTGTTGATTTTGGGATTCAGATAAATTTTAGTGAGTAGGTGAATTTGCAAATGTGGAATCTGTGAATATAAAAACCAACCATGTATAAAATTAACATGGATATATCTTCAACTCTGACCTTTTTTTTCACTTTTGTTTTTGAATCTTTGTATCTCTGGGTTGGTTGTAACTTCAGAGGAACAGACTATTTGCAGGGGTTCAAAGTTTAATTGCATCTTGATTTCAGAGTACATTTTTGGTTTAAACATTTCAGTTAATTCTGAGCTCAAATACTCTCCTCTGCTTTTGATGCAAACATTATGTAATCAAATTTTTACTTTAGGTGGTCATTGTTAGTTACTTGAATTAGGACCAAACAAAGCACTGAACATTACTTGGTGAATTGAATGAATAATCAACAAATCATCTAAGCACTGCCATCTCTTAGCACTTGGCTCCTAAGGAGTTTAGCTTAAACTCTTCCAATTTTTAACATTCTAGACTTAAGTTATAAAGTGTAATTTATTTTCTGTAGTCTTTTTTTTTTTCAGTAATTTTGATATCCACCCTTTTCTGTACACTGATGGCAGAAACTTAATGTTTAGTAATTCCAAGTTTAAACTAATTTAAGTTGTGGTTCCTGCTTTTCCTTCTTCCACCTATTGGGCATGACCTCCAAGTTCTGAGGTAATCAGGTGGCATTTTCGTCTAGTACGCATGTGAACATAGTGGCAAGCCTGAGATATGCATTGTTCTCTGTGGGTCTCAGCTGATACCACACATACATGCTGGCATCTGCTTAGAAGTCTGCATCCCTGTCTGTCTTCAGCTCTGTGGTCCACTGCAGCAGTGCCCTCAGCATCACACCTTGAAAGCCCTTCAGAGCCACTGTCACCCCAGCCAGCCTCAACACTCTCCTATGCAAATCTGGAGCCAACACAGTCTCCTGGGACATCTCAGGCTGTACATCCAAATTGATTGGTAGCAATAATCTTTGTTTAGAATTTTACTTTCAGTAATAAACAGACACCACATGTTAGAAACATCCCTAAATTTTTTTGAAAAGTGATAAACTCTATTACAATACTACACATATGTTCCATTTATAACAAATATATAATGTGTTACATTTTTGTCTAGTGCATTAAATTTATATTGAAGTCTTTAGGTGATTCTTTTCTGCTCTTCTGGATATACACACACACACAATTTTAATACTTTATTAAGGTAAAGACATAACATTATATTAGTTTCAAGTAAACAACATAATGATTTGATATTTGTATATATTGAGAAATGATCACCACAGTAAGTGTAGTTAACATTTGTCCCCGAATATAGTTACAAAAAATTTTTTTCTGTGATGAGTACTTTTAAGATCTACACTCTCACCAATACTACTTTTAATATGTTATAGGGCTTAAGGAATAAACCAAAGAAAACAGCGCATGTGAAACCAGACCTCATAGATGTTGATCTTGTAAGAGGTGAGCCCTGGAAAAATAAATGCTTAATGCAATTAGAAAATGACCTTGAAGAAACAGAATTCAAAATGGGTTAGATATGTATTGGTAGAAATAAAAGTAATTGTGAGCCTGAATGAAGCAGGAATAGTTTTAAAAACAGAATGGAAGCATTTAAATACCATCGACTAGTCATTCCTTCCACAAAATATGATTCCAAGAAATAAGTACAAAGAAAAAGCTGTGTTTACTTAGCAAACCATTAAGACTTGGTTATAAAAATGAAAGTGGTGACTTTTTTTAAAATTTACTTTTTAAATTATAGTTGACATACAATATTATATTAGTTTAAGGTGTTAAAGTGGTAATTTAAAATTCCTAACTGGAATTGACATTTGAATATTGTCATATTTATAAAATATATGGGAGAAATTGTGCTGTTATTTCAGTTAAACATTTTTTTTGAAGTACCTGAGTTAATATGATAGCAAGAAGAATGTTCTTTAAAATGTCTACTACCCAAATGAGACATTTCTCATTCATAGAATAGTACAAAATAAAATTATACATGTTTTGTTTTTCTTCAAATGTTGAAATTTTTTCTCTAAGGAAATTAAAGACTAATAAATGTACTCAGTCATTTCATTTTACTTTTCTCAGGGTCTGCATTTGCTAAGGCAAAACCTGAAAGTCCTTGGACTTCTCTGACTAGAAAAGGAATTGTTCGAGTTGTATTTTTTCCCTTTTTCTTCCGGTGGTGGTTACAAGTAACATCTAAAGTCATCTTTTTCTGGCTTCTTGTCCTTTATCTTCTTCAAGGTACAAAATTAAATGACAGAAATGCATTTTGCTTTTAATTTCAGGATTTTTTTTAGGGTTACCAAGGCTTTTATAAAAATATGTATTACTACTGAATATGAAGATAAATATTCATTGTAATATTTCATTTAATAAGACACTAACAATAACAATGAGAAAACAAAGCAGTTATTTTTCAATATAATTTTGTTAAAATTTGAATCTGTGCATAGCTAGAGCAAAATACAAATTGAGAGAATTTTTAAAAATTAAGAAGTCTCTTCAAAGTGTATTCCCTCCCCCATATAGATTCCACACCAGTCCTTTTATGCAAGTTCATTTTTCCTGCCTTAGCCAGGATTAATTTTTTTCTTTTAACCATTGTGATCTGAGACTGCCCTTATCCTCTACTGAATGAAATTCTGCATTCCATGAACTGTTGTAAGTGCTTTTCACAGATTGTTGTTTAATTCTTAACAGCAACTCAGTGAAATATAGGTAGTATTATTATGCCTAGCTTATTATAGACAGGGGACTCTGAAGAACCTTATGGCCTAAAGTCACACAATCACCAAATGTGGTAGAGCCCAGGTTCAAGTTTAAACCATCTGACTCAAAACCTTATGCTTAACAACTCTGTTACACTGCTTCCTATCACAGCAGCATTCTAGTATATAGTCATAACGGTATACAGTGCATAATATACAACATTGTAAGACATTTGGAGTCTTCAAGAGAAAACCGCTCATATTCCATCACTGTAACAAAGCAATGATTTTAATTTGGTTGGTACTCTCAGTCTTTTTAATGTCTTATTTAAAAACATGATTTTAATCCTGAATGATTATTTAAACATGGTTTATTAAAAACCCTACGTAAAAGATAATTTCTTTTAAGTAAATGAAAATATAATTTAAAACTACAGATTTTTATTTAGGTAAAGTTGTTTCCTTTAAGCCAGGGTACATCTTATATACATAAAAGGGAGTGGACTATGAATATTTTGTGATTGTTGTTAATAGAATGTGTGTGTGTGTTTCTGATTAAAGAAACAACACATGTTCACTGCAGAAAATTTGGAAAATGTAGGGAAAAAATGAAGGAAAAAACAATCTGTAATCTTTTAGTTTACTTTGTAACATTTTTTATATAGTTGAGATTATTCTTTGTAAACAATTGTACTTTTTTTACCTTGTATCATACCAACTATCAGAGTCTTTATAAATATAATTTTAAATTATTGGAAAGTACCCTATCCTATGTCAGTATTGGACATTTAAGCTTTTGCTGTCTTTTGCTGTTATAATTAATGCTGAAATTAACATATAGTTTGTGTAGTATTTTTAACATTTTGAATTATTTTCTTATGATAAATTCCTAGAATATCTGCAATTAAGTATAACATTACCAAGGATTTTCATGTCATTTATAACTGCTTTTAAGAACTTGACCATTTTTGTTGCTAAATAATACCATTACATTATATGATAGTTCTTCTAAATGTATTTTTATCAAGTTACTTTCTTGTGTTTCCTTTGCTCCCAAAAAGATTTAAGAGACCTAAGTATAATTATCTCCTAGTGCTTTCTAGCTTACCAAAAGGAAAAAAACTTTATTCTAAAGCAGTCAGAAAGTACAGTTACTTATTAGAGTAATAATCAGTATCATTGATTATAACAACTGTGCATTGTCTAATTGTCACTTTCTAGTTTCCTTCCTGTGTAACTAGAAGTTATTAAAATACTGTGTCTGAAATTTACTCACTGGCTTTCCTAAGTTAAATAGGGAACATAGGGTAGATCAGGCATGAAAAGATGTTTGCCAGTTTAGAACTGAAGTTTAACATTGTGTGTTCACAAGTTGAACACTGAACATTCTCCTAGTAAAACTTAAAGAAGTGACTTAATTGCTTCAAGTTACACAGCCAGTGACAAAGTGCTGCTATGACCCTAATGACCTTTAGCAGTCTGCTAGTACATTTAGAAACTCCTGTGCCTCCATTTCTATGTATATTAAAGTAGGGTGCAGTACTCTGAGTTACACCTTCATTCTCTATTTAACCCTTATCTTCCAAAAGGTAGAATCATGTGCAGTTAGATTTGGTTTTATAAAACTCCCTATAGGTGTTTTTTTTTTTTTTACTTCAATTGCCTTTTAAGTATCTCAACTTTGTGTTCTCAGCTCCGTTCCTACTTTTTGCTTATATCATTTCTTTCCAGACTACTGCCAAAAGCGGTTATATCTTCTACCTTCTTCTGTCCATTTACCTTTTAAATTGCAAATCCAAACCAGCCACTTAAGGTCTAAATCGTTCCCTAGTTATCATTAACCTCAAGCCATAAGGCAAGTTTTTCAGTCAGTCCCTTGTGTCTCTCCCCAACTTTAACCAGACTAAATTACCTCTTTGTTGCTGTTTCTTAAACATTTTGTGCTTTCTTTATATATACTTTTGGACATGCAAATCTTCTTTGCCTGGGTAGCCTTCTTCCCTTTCATTTACCTAGTTAACTCCTATTTCTGCTCTCAAAGTTAGATTAGGCATCAGACATCACCTTCTTTCAGAATACTTTTTATAACCTCCCAATTTAGTTACATGTTTCTCCTATGTGAGAGTGGACTCAAAAATACCAGGATTATCTTCTGGAGGGGGAGGCTGCTTGTAGTACAGGCTTCCCCCTGCTAGGTGAGTGTTCTAGGAATGCACCTGTGTCAGGGTACCAGCTGGTGTTGTTATGAGAGGCTGTGAATTCTTTTTGAAGACTCTTTCAGTGTGTTTGCCCATTTCATGATGGGTGATTTATGAGTGCACCTGCCCACACCGTGCTGAGTGTTTAGCAGTTTTTGGCCTAAAACATCATGAACCCCATGCACCGCTTTCCCTATTCACCCAATCTTGCCCTTAGTGACTTTTTTTTGTTTCTCCCGGTCCTCAGAGGGAAATTATTTTGGTGAAAGAGATAAAACAAAAAATGGTAGAAGAACTAAAAGGCATCAGAATTGACAAGTTCTTGCCCTGGCTGGTGTGGCTTAGTGAACTGAGTGCCAGCCTGTGAACCAAAGGGTTGCATGTTCATTCCCAGTCGGGGCACATGCCTGGGTTGTGGGCCAGGTCCCCAGTAGGGGGTGTGAGAGAGGCCACCACACACTGATGTTTATCTCTAGCTCTTTCTCCCTGCCCCTCCCTAAATACATACATATGTACTTATATACATACATACATAAAATCTTTTTAAAAATTGGCAAATTCAAAAACAGCTTTTGAGCAGTGGAAAAAAACTCAATAGATTTGTTGCATCAAATAGAGAGTACTTCGAAGGTGACTGAAATTTGAACATGAAAGAATAAATACACAATTTTTTATAATTTTTTTTCTTTTTTGTCTCCCTTTGTATATTGCAGCATTTACCATAGGTATCCTATATGTCTACTTGGGCTCCCATAACAAAATACCACCAACTGGGTGGCTTAAACAACAGAAATTTATTTTCTCACAGTCCGGAGGCTGGTGTCCAAGATTAGGTACCATCTGGGTTGGGGTCTGGTGAGAACTCTATTCCTGACTTGTACATGGCTGTCTTTTCCCTGCATCCTCACAGGGCCTTTCTTCTGTGTGTGAATGGAGAGAGATCTATAGTATCTCTTCCTCCTACGAGGACATCAGTCCTATTGGATTAAGGCCCCACCCTTATGACTTAATTCAACCTTTTATTACATCCTTATGGGGCCTGTCTGTAAATATAGTCACATTGGGGCTTGCAGCTTCAACATATGAATTATGAGGGTGGGTACACAATTCAGTACATTATAGGTATTCTGATTTTTCTTTATACGCCCACCTTTTTTCCTCTAAACTGAAGAGGGGCAGGGAACATAGACTATGTTTTACTTGTCTTTCTACTCCTAATGCCTAACACCAGCCACTAAATCCTAAAGATCAATAGATCTAAAAATGGAACTTCAGAAATTTTATATTCCTGATGATTGTAGAGTTCTGCTTGGCCAGTATGTGAAACCCTGCCTTGGAACTACTTGTGCCCAGTAAAGAACATTTTGTCTTAGTTCATCTTTTGGAGAAATCTCTAGAAGTGCTGTTTAGCAGAAAATCTTTAACACCACTGTCTAGTTCAGAGAACTTCATTAAATGATCAAACAGGATAACAGAGAAGTGAATGTTTTCTTCTTATATCTTCATAACCCTTTACTCAAGGAGCAACAAAAGGGAGGAGGTGATGCCAGGACCACCTGCTCTGGAACTGAGGCCATGGAAGGGACATAGCTACTTTGAGAGACATAGCTAAAAGGAAGAAGGAAAAGAGAGAGGAATAAAGCAACTTCCTTCTCCCCTTTTCTAATGTTTTCCATTGGCAAAATTTCACAGAGTATAACAACCTTAGTTGAGACAGAAAATGTAGTTTTTAGGTTCCCAGCCCTAGAATTACAGAAAGTGGTGGTCATAGGGCTGAAAGATAAATAACCAGCAAGAAGTATATCAAATCCGAAGTTCTTTATGTTCTTCTTTGTGCCTAAAATTCTGAACCTCTTAAGTAACATTTGCATCCTCCTCCTTTTGGAAGATAGTTAAGTTAATAATAGCTAATAGTACTATTTATCAATGTTAAGGACTCATTTACTATATGTAAGGAACTTTTCAAAGTGTTCTACATGTATGTGTTAGTCCACTTGAAACCTATGTAGCTATATACTATTTTTGTACAAAGGAATAAACCAAGGCTCAACAAAGTTAAGGAAGTGGATAAAGGTCACATTACATACAGTTCATAATAAAAACAACAAAAATCTATATATTTTTCCATATCCCAGACTCTATTATAAAACTACTAGAGAAATTGAGTTAAATTCCAGGGTAATTCATAAAGATGGTTGGCATTTTTAAAAATTTGTCTTTTTTTTCTTTCTAAAGAACCTTATTACTCAGGAGAACATAGGCTGAAATTTGTTTTATGATACTTCTTAAACATCTTGGAAGATAAAGTGGTGTTTTATCTAGATCTTGGTATGCTAGACCAGGATTCTTCAGTGGCAGGTGGCAGAAACCAAATGCCAGCTAGCTTTTACAAAAAGTTTTCTGTTGTTTTTACTGTTTATCATAAAAGCTTTCCAAAAAATTCCAGGAAACTAGATAGACTTGTGCCATAAACAGAGTGGCCATATGTTCCAGTTTGCCTGGGACTATGTAACTATCCAAGTTTACTTCTGTTGTCCTCTTGCTTTTATTAACAGCTTTCATCTCTCTCTCAAAAGAGTCCTGATTTAAATGATATAGCTACCCATATGCCCATCTCTTTGATTAAATAATTATTAACCTTTTGGCATATTTACTTAATCTATTTTGTTAAAGTAAATTACGTAAAATCATGACATTTTACCCCTGAATGCATCAGTATGAACCTCTTCAAAATCTTAAACACATTCCAGTGACCACATCTATCAAAATGAACAGAATTCTCCTAATACTTGCCCTGGCCAGGTAGCTCAGTTAGTTGGAGTGCCAAACCCACAAAGGTTTTGAGTTTGATTCCTGGTCAGAGCACATATGGGAGGCAACCAATCTCTCTCTCTCTCTCTCTCTCCCTCTCCCCCTCCCTCCCCCTCTCCCCCTCCCTCCCCCTCTCCCCACTTTCCCCTGCTTTCTCTCTCTCTCCCCCCCTTCCTCTCTCTCTAAAGTCAATAAACATACCTTCAGATGAGGTTTAGAAAAATTATTTTTTAAAAAGAAAAATCTAATACTCAAATTCTTCAGTTGTCCCAAAAACAAATTAGGTACTCCTAGGCCCTTGATTCAAGCATCGCTGAATTTAGAGGCTTAGATGATGTCTTAACTTTTTATGCTGTTTACGCTTCTTTTCTTATGCTGGTCTCATTCTTAGGGAGGCTTTTTTTTTCCCCCCCCTGTTTCTGTTCTGCTTGTTTGCTTAGTTTGTTTTTTTCTTTCTTCTTTCTTTCCTTCTTTCTTTCCTTCTTTCTTTCCTTCTTTCTTTCCTTCTTTCTTTCTTTCTTTCTTTCTTTCTTTCTTTCTTTCTTTCTTTCTTTCTTTCTTTCTTTCTTTCTTTCCTTCTTTCTTTCTTTCTTCCTTTCTTCCTTTCTTCCTTTCTTCCTTTCTTTCTTTCTTTTGTCTCTGCCTCCCCCACACCACTTTCCCTTGCCCCCTCCCTCCTTCCCTCCCTCAGCTCTTCCCCTTTGGTTTTGTCCATGAGTTCTTGCTATATGTTCCTTGACTTTCCCCTTCCCTTCCCTTTCCCTGCCCGCCCCTCCCTCCTTCCCTCTTTTCTCTGTTGATTTCTTTTCCTTTCAGTGTTGCTGGTCATATTTTCCTTGCATCTTTGTATTTTTGGTTAGGTTCTGCTTATAGGTGAGATCATATGGTATTTGTCTTTCGCCCCCTGGCTTATTTCGCTTAGCATAATGCTCTTCAGTAGGGAGGCTCTTTTTGAAGGATGGCTGAGGTGACCCTGGCAATTTCTTATATTTATAGTCCTTAGTGTTTGACCTAGGAGAAAGGCCTTCAAATACCTTTGTTTCTCACTGTAAAAGATTCTGACTGGTCCTGCTTAGGTCACATGTCCATCTTTTTATTAATTACTGTTTCCAGAGTTAAAACTGTGGCAAACCTAGATTACAGGTCTATCCCTGAGATGGGAGAGATAAGACCATTTGATTGACAGATAAAGGAAGCAGATTCCCAAAAGATAAAGTTTTTGTCTATGAAGTTTAAGTGATGCTGAGCTGGCAAGAACAAGATTTCTTCATGTGTCAATGGTTAGCATTAATGGGTGTTTAGTGATTTCCCTGAGAAATATGCCCAAGTAAATTTGTGCTGTTAATTCTGAGTAGATAGATCTCTACTGAAAAGAAGCTTTTTATAACCTTATTATGTATTTATCGTAGAAGTCCATGTTTGTTAATCAAAGGAAAAAGTGCACTTGAGATTAATGTGGTTCTGTTGACTGTCTGGGATCTTACCAGGAATGACCTTAGATTCATATGCATTTAGTTTTCATTGTAGTGGTAAGGTGTGTACTTGAGAGACTATGTTCATTGTTCTCTTGATCCAAGAGTTTATAACTGAACAACAAGTATGGTTAGCCAGTCTGAAAGAGCTTGTCTGGAGAAACATTTAAACTCACTCAAATTTAGAAAAATAATCTGGCAAGAAGCAATATTAAAGCAATTTAAGTTTGGAAAAAGTGACTATCAGATCTATAATGTATTTTCTTTCCTTTTTTGTAGTTGCTGCAATAGTATTGTTCTGTTCAGCTTCTAGCCCACATAACATACCTCTGACAGAAGTGATTGGGCCGATATGGCTGATGCTGCTCCTGGGAACTGTGCACTGCCAGATTGTTTCAACAAGAACACCCAAGCCTCCTCTAAGTACAGGGGGTAAAAGAAGAAGGTACTGAATAAACCTTTTTGTAGATTTCTATGATTTGAATCTAGAATTGTTCTTGATTTGAATAAAATGTTACCTTGTGAAGTTACTCTTTCCCATAAAGCAGTGACCTTCAGAATCAGATACCAAATAGGATTTTGTTTCTGTATTTGCTTCAGGGTCATTTTGAAACCACATACCTGTTTTTGTTTTTATTTTCTTTCTTGTAGCTAATTGCTAGGCACCTAAACCAATGTAGGGAATATATTGGGATAGTCAAAAAGTCATTTTTCTGTAAGATAGCTTAGTAGAACTTAGTTTGCCTTTAACTTCATTTGAAATAATTTTGTTACTTTGTATTGTAGTTGCTGCCATATCAGTGTGCATTTAAAAAAAAATCGAAATTGGTGAATTTTTGTGTAGCCATTTTAACATTGAAGATGGAACAAAATATGCAACATTTTTTTAAATATTATGCTTTATTATTTCAAGAACGATAAAAATGCAATTAAAAGCAAAAAAAGATTTGTGCAGTGTATGGAAAAGGTGATGTGACTGATAGAATGTGTCAAAAGTGGTTTGTGAAGTTTCATGCTAGAGATTTCTCACACCACAATGCTTTACCTTGGGATGGAGCAGTTGAAGTTGATAGTGATCAAATTGAAACATAATTGAGAACAATCAATGTTATACCACACTAGAAATAGCTGACATATTCAAAATATCCAAATCAGTAAAGTTATTGGTGAAAATGAAAAATGTGTCTAATTTTACAGAAAAAACTAAATGGGCATTTTGGCCAACCCAATATGTTAGTTGGAGTTACTAATGCCCACTATTTAAAAAACTTTATACTTATATGATGACTTGGCAAAAACAAGAGCCAAGAAAAAATTTTATCTAAATTCTATTTATTAAATGCTATTTGAAGGTGTTTAACATTGTACCCAGATTAAGTAAACGTACCAAGTCTCACTGGCCACTCAGTACAATGGAATTGTTTTAAAGGTCTTTTAGAGCAATTCCTCTTTTATTTTTATCTTTTTTAAAAATCCTCACATGAGGGTATGTTTATTGATTTTAGAGAGGGAGGAAGGGAGGAGAGAAATATTAATGTGAGAGAGAAGCATTGATTGGTTGCCTCCCTTATGCACCCAAACTGGGGATTGAACTGGCAATCTAGGTATGTTCCCTGACTGAAATTGAATCTGCAACCTTTTTGGTGTATGGGACGATCCCCAACCAAATTAACCACCTGGTCAGGGCTGGAACAGTTCCTCTTTGGAATATTGTTACTAAGAAATTGTGACATTTGCAGTTTGCGGATGTTGAAATGTAAACCCTTTTTATTTTGAAAATAAAAATAGATCAGTTTAACATTGCTGATCAGTTAGATTATAATCCTCTTTGATTTAATTTTTTTTTCTTTATTTATCTGCAGGTTAGTGACATTCGAATAGGGAAGAAATGCTTTTGAAAATACCTGTTTAATGCAATCCTTACTACCTAATATCCACTGACCATCAGTATAAGCAACGGATAATACCTTAACTTTTACAGAAAGTGGTCTTGAATATGTACTTTATATTTGGGTTAACTTTTATCTAGTAAATCTGAACTTCATTATGTATTAAAGTTCCTATGTCTATGTTTGCCAAAATTTTAAACATACTACCACAAAAGTGGTTGTTAAAATTTTAAAACTACCTTCCATTCTTTATCTCTTCTGATAAAGGAAATTAAGAAAAGCAGCCCATTTGGAAGTACATAGGGAAGGAGATGGTTCTAGTACCACAGATAATTCACAGGAGGGAGCAGTTCAGAGCTACGGTACAAGCACCTCATACAGCGTTGGCGCAGTCTTCAGAGATCTCTGGCACGCTGCTTTCTTTTTATCAGGGTTTGTATTTATTCAAGGCTTCATATGACATAGAGATGCACTATCCCTTTTCTGGCACTTCTGTCTCAGATAATAAGTATTAATGACTTTACATATGACAGCCCTATTATGGATTTTGTTTTGATAAATTATATTACTGTATACTACAGAAAAATAAAGGATATGTATAAATATATTTATATGAGAATATATACCATCAAAATACATTTAGTTGGGTTTCTTGATTTTGGTTTCTTTTGTGATTTCTCAAGTCCTATTTTACTTCTTTTTAATTGGTTATTTTTATAGCAGTACAGATCAAATTGGCTTTACCAATATGTCACAAGAGCCATATGATCTTTTAATTTAATTCCTGTCTCAATTATCTAAAATTATCTAATATAAAACGTAGGTATTTTTACTTAAAAGAATAAAATATACTATTGGATGAAATTCTGTTGTTACATACTGGGCTTTTTGTATAATTTGTACCACAATAAATATTTCAAATACCAAGTAAGGAAGTGTAATGATAGGAAACTTCAAAAGTAAATTAAACCTAACTCAATCTTATATAATTATTTTGACTAGTTAATTTAAAACTCAAGGGTTATATTACTAGTGTACATATACATATAATAAATTTGGAAAAATTAGCAAGCTATTATCAAAATACTGAGTATAACTGATAACAGTTGCTAAATTTATGAATCAAGGAAAGGGATACTGCAAATGACTATTTTGGTCACTTTTGCTAACTCCTCTACTAGTATCATTGTTTCATCAATATGTGATTGTGCTCTTATAAAGTTTATCATGCATTAGGTATATAATTAAACAATTATACCCTTGGCCTATTTTCATTGATTGTAACTTTGGGGGAAATTTTCCAAAATTTTAATTGTTTGCTGTAACATTGCATTAAGTTGCTTCCTCCAGAGAAGATACAGGTTTGGTTTGGTTTTTAACTTGTATTGGATTCTGTCTGTATCTCTCTTAGTCTTTTTTTTTTTCTTCTTCTTTTGAAATTGCTCTCCTTTCTTATAATAGGATGGGACAGTTTTATCACTGCAAAGTAGTTTCTTAAACATTTCTCAACTTTTGATAAGCAATTATAAATAGCATACTGGATATGTTTTACTTTTGGGGAATTATTTAGTTGTTTTGGTTGTCTGGAACTGATATTGTATTACTTAGTATTCAGAATCCCCTAACACAGTAGGTTGGTGCCTTTGGAATTCTACCATGTTTCTCAAATGAGATTCAAACTTCAGTTTCCCTCCTTTTGTTATAATGTTATAGTGGCTAAATCTTTTGGGGTTTATTTCCTTTAATCATGACAACTATAATATAAGTGCTTTTAAAGATGCATTGTAGTGTCTCATTCCGGTACTGGTTTGCCAGCTTGTGAATAATAAGACTTTTAAATATTAGGTACAAAAAAAATGTTAAGAAAAATGTTAATTTTAGAAGTTCTAAACTGAGTTCTGAAACCTTGATGATGTTTTGTTCATTCAGGCTTTAATAAGTCAGAAAGGCCCTAAACTAAAATATCAGCTGAGACTTAAAATTGTTTCTGGTGATAAAAAATTGAAAAACTGGGTACTCCATTAAGGTGTCTGAATTAACATAACTTATAGGAAAATAAATGCATAACCGTACAAGTATTTAAGCTTTGTATATGGTATCTTGTTGGTTTTCTGGATGTTAGGTTGAAATCTACAGTATTTACATCATGTGTTTATAAGTTAGAAAGACTCTAATTTTCATCTCTAAGTACATTGCCTTCTCAAGGTAAAACCTGTTTTATTTTTAAACAAAGCATACATAGTATTTCTCATTTGAAAAAAATAAGAAATTATAAAAGAACTCTATGAACCTGAGAGAACAAAGCTAAAGAAAGTATCAATTTTTTAAAATACAGAAATCAACCATATTTTCTAAGGATTTAATACTGTAGTTTCAGTGAATTATAGTCTTAAATTAGCATAATTATAGTTTCTACTGAAAATAGTGAATAGGAAGAATGCATCTACATTGTGTATCTCTTCAGTATAATGCCTATTTCAGATTTCAGATATATCCTGAGTTTTCTTTCATGTCTTAAGATTCATTTGACCATGACAGTATTATTCAGAAACAGACAGTGAATGGAAATTATGCCCTTTTTTTAGTAGAAAATCAGTAACATATAAATTGACTTGGTGCTTAAGACACAGAAATCGAATAAAACCAGGTCACCAGATTATCTCATTAAATTTGCTAAAGTCACTGTATTTTAGAGTTGGACTGATCCTAGAAAGATTACGGGTACCATAAGCAGACCTAACTTGGTACATTCTCCTCAAACTATGTGTTGTAGAGGATACCAAAGGATCCAAGAGTCTTTGAAGGGCTATGTTAGGATGTAATCAAGGTATATGATAGCCCCGGATAGCAGTGATGGTAATACACAGGCTCCTATTATCATTTGCTTATATCTGAAATTTTATTCATTCTGTTTCTCTAACCTCCTCTCCCCCTTGATGTCTCTCTAACCTTGTTGAAATGAGAGCAGAACTAGAAATGTCATATTATGTTCTAGAAGAAGAGTTATTTTCTACTGTTAAGTAGCAACTCTCTAATGTCCTTTAATACTAAAAGGATGATCCTCAGTTGGATCTGTTTATATACCTCCACATATTTTTGAGAGCACCAACAAATACTTCCAGCTTTCTTTTTCCTGTGGAGGTACAGAGTTCCGTGAGTGTTTTGATGACCTGATTAAGTTTTAAATACAGAAACACTGGTTTTCATGTTTGGTACAGATTTGAAGTTTTATAAGCTAGTAAGCTCTTTAAAAGTTGTGTTAACTTTTTGGTTAAAGTTTTTAATGTGAAAACCATCCAGTTTTATGATTTATTTATGGTGTAGATTATATATTTGTTTGCATTTTTTTAGAAAAGACCAAGATCATCATCTCACAAAGGAAGTGAGGTAATTTTATACATATATTTCTAAAGGTCCTTTCCTCCTGTGGATATTTTTGACAAAGCGCTATCCTTCCTGTCAAATATAATATTTTAAAGAAAATTCTGTACAGGTCTTGCCAACGAAAGATTAGAGTGGCAGTCTAGTTATAAAACTGTGAACCTTGACCATGGCCATAAAATTGCACATTGTTTCTTTGCAAATGCTTTTTTGTTCAAAGTCCAGTGCAGAAAATACTGTTTCTGTCATGAAATAAGTAAGATCAGTATAGACTTGTATGTCTCCTGTTTTCAAGGTACTGCTAACTTCACAGCCCTAATGCCTTTGATTGAAGATGTTTGGGCTGATCTAAGAAAATATTGTTAACTCTGGTTTTATTAAGTGAATTTATTCAATATATGCATTAAGTATAACTATAGAAGGGTAGACATTTTCTAGATAGTATTAAAAGGACCTTTTCTTTCTATATTTTAGTACTTCAATTCCTAATACCAGCTTCTTTCTACCCTGCTTTTTATTTTTGGTAGGGAATGGTGATTTAGATATATGTGTGTTTATTTTAAAATCAAAATGCTTCAGTTTATTTGTGTGCGTGTTAAAGTTCGTTTAAATAGACGTAGTTTCCCTTTAGAAAGTAAGTAGAATTTTACAGTATTTATTTATTTTTTTCTTGATACAGTATTTTTATTTTATTTTTTTAATTTATTTATTTATTTTTCCAAATACATTTGTCTCTGCCTTTTTTTCTCACTCCCCCATGTTTCCCTAATTTTTTTACTTCCTAAAACAAGGAAATAGGAGGAATTACTTAAACATCTGAGTTTTGATAACCTGTGTTCCTTTTGATAACTTAATATTCTATGAAGTTTTAACTTTCAGCTCTTATTTGCAGTATGAATGGTACTGTACAGTCAGTGGTAAAACTAAACTTTACCTGGAGAGGGCACAATTTTTGACCCTCTTTATCTGTGCTAATTGGAATTTAGCTCTCCTATGGATTCTGCATTCAGCATTTCCTGTATACTCACATCCAAAGAATGCCCTAATCAGGGTACAAATCAGTTTGTACTTTTTAAAACAAGTTTCGTGTTTTTTACGTTTTTGAAGACCTCAGAGATTTACTTTCTAAGAATATCCCTTAATTTGGGTTTGTGCCAATGGTGTTCTGGATCTGGTTCCAAGTGACTTGTAAGCATTAAGTATGTGTATCTCTTCCCAATTCCATGTTTAGTGCTATCAGTTGTTTGGAATTGGCCATTGAGGGATTATTTACACCATGGAAGTCATGAAACATTGCAAATAAGAGCTTTTTAGCCCGGGAGAGCTGGTTTTTCAACATTTAGCAGCACACTACTTAATGTTTCTTCATGATTAAACCCAAATTAATGCATTTTGGGCAGGGATGTCATAGAAATGATAATTTATTCTTCTCATTGCATCCTGTCAGGTGGCAAACGATGTGGATTTGCTCCCTTACTAGTGATATTTACATTAATCCCTTGATTAAGGTAGTGTCTGCCTCTGCCAGATTCCTTCATTGTAAATTTATTTATTTTTTTCTTCATAATCAATGAATGTCCTGTGCGGGGATACAAAAATATTGTAAAAATAACTCACTTCTCATCATATCTTTACCTTCGAGTTTCAACATTGATTGAAGATTCTTGCCTGATTTATTATTTTGTGGGGGGGGAGTAATTTTTCTTTATTGTTGACACTATTACAAATGTCCCCATTTTCCCCACCTTTGCCTTCCTCCACCCAGCCCCCATCCTCAATTTCCCATTCCTTCTGGCCGTTGCCCACACTGTTGTCTGTGTCCAGAAAGTATCAAGCCTGATATTATGAAAAAGATGTTTATTGAAGAAGATTCAAGATATGAGGAATATTGCACATAGGACAGTGACTCCTCAGTCCCCTTCAAAGTAGGCACCTTGGGACCTCACACGGTTTCCTACTCGCCATCAGCTGCCCTGTTGTATTTTCCTGAATCTCATTGACAGTCTGAAATCTCTTTCATTTCAAAGGTGATTTTAGTTTTGGGAAAAACCAGAAATCACAGGGCATCATATCTCGGCCATAGTGGCGCTGAGTCACCTGTGCGATTCGATGTTTCGCCAAAAAACTGCACAAGACATGATTCATGAGTGGGTGCGTTGTCATGATGAGGCTGCCAATCAATCGCCAGTTGCCTATAGCTGCGGCCTTCTGAATTATCTGAATAGTTTCCACAGAGGAATGTTAAAGCTTAACACAAAATTGAATGTAGATTCGTTGCTCTGCTAGCTCTGTCCTCCTGAATGCGATGGCCACATAGTACACATGCTCACTCAATAGCCTCTTGTGCCCCCGCTGACTAGTATAGTGAAGTAGTCATTCATGCATGTGCATTCTAGCCCACTCTCCTTGGCTGCCAGGTTACATGGATGTCGTGCAAACTGTTCTCGTAATATTAACAATGGTTGGACTTTTTTGGGACAGACCTCATATGTTCTTTGGCCAGTCCTTTCACCTTCTTTCATTAGTCTTATCTGAATTACTACTATATTGGTTACCAAGTGTTGATTTTTCTAAGTTCATCATTCCTTCTACATTTATTAATTGTCATTCTACTTTAAGAAATAACTTTTTCTTGCTTTTTTACTTATGGATTTCTATTTTATTTAATTTGTTAACTGTCATTCATTTTGATGATCAGAGTGTTCTAAATTTGGCCATCGGAGCCTCTTTTGAGTGGTTTCTTTGTCTTTTTGACATGTCCCTATTAATCTTTGAGGACTTCCTTACTTTCTGGCACAACAGAATGTTTCATGATCAATTTGTACTTCCACTGCCTCAGCCCTGGAATCAGCCATTTCTTCAAGGGGAGTGGTATATAGAAACTAAAATCTGAACACCAGATGTACTCATTACTATTGGGGTGTTGCTACCCACAGGCTTTCTTCATTGGGTAGAGCCAGAAAATGTGTGTGTATGTTTATCCCTTTACAATTTTGTTAGATTGTATTGTGACAACTGTCATATCATTGTACATTTAAAAAATCTTATCAAAATTGGTGAATTTTTGTGCAGCCATTTTAATATTGAAGATAGAAAAAATAGGCAACAGTTTTGGGTTATTATGCTTTATTATTTCAATAAAGGTAAAAATACAACTGAAATGCAAAAAAAGATTTGTGCAGTATATAGAGAAAGTGTTGTTGACTCATTGAACATGTCCAAAGTGGTTTGCAAAGATTTTTAGTACTATTGATATTTTGGCCAAATAATTCTTGGCTGTGGGGCTGTCTTATGCATTGGAAGATGTTTAGGAGCACCCCTGACCCCTACCACTAGAAATTAATAGCAGGCAATAGCTGACATACTCAAAATATCCAAATCAGTAGTTATTGGTGAAAGTGAAAAATGTGTCTTTTTATTTACAGCAAAATCTAAAAGGACTTTCTGACCAACCCAATATAACACATGAATTTGCAGTGATAGCTCCAATTCAAATACAATATCTCAGAGTACATTTCATCTTTCCTTCTCTTTTCATTTATACTTTTGTTCTGTATCACTGAAAAACCAATTTCCTTGTCCTCAATATACTTATTCAATTAATCCTGTTTGTATAGCCCCTCTCCCAACCCTTCTGGGCTTCACCTGGCACCCTGCCCTAAAATTGTCTTCAAATGGGCTGCCCCTGCTCTCCCACTCCAATGATACTCTTGTAATTGCCGTAATTATCAGTCACTGCCAAGCTGCATGATTTATATTTTGATCTACTTTGTAAATTCTGAGGGTGGCACTTAAACATGTGTTATTTTCTTTTTCATTCCCGCATTGTTCGCAGCTTATCTGCATTTAGTTCATGAGAAGCATCAGATAGTTTCTATAGCCTAGTAACTTCAGTTCATGTCTTCTGATAGTGTTACTCTTACTTAGGAGAGAGTGAGGAGAGAAGCAACCCAGAGAAGGGTGGAAGGAGGTAGGTAAGGAAAGAATAAAGTGGGAGATAGCTGAGAGGTGTCAGTCACATGGAATAGATGCTACCAGTACTCTTTCCCCTGGCTTAATAGTCTATCCTGTCATAGTAAGGAAGTAATCACCTTTAAAGCAGCAGTTATTACTACTGCAAATCCCTTTTCACTGAACCGTTAACATCTGCCTTCTTGGGTTCTGGCTCAATTTGCAAGCTTTCAGCCACTTTTTCTACTTTGACTATTGACCTGCAGACCTATGTTTTCAACTGCCTGCTGATCTTAGGATGTTCCCAGGCACTTCACATCTAACATTTCCATCTTTCTTCCCAAATGTATGTTATGTTTCCTCTCTTGTATATCCTATCTGATTAAATGTTTCCTTCCAGTATATCCATGAACTTTTCTTTTGTAAATATCTTTTCAGAAAACTTCTCTGTCTTTGAGTTCTCACATTTTTAATATATCAAGTAATTTCATCTCCCTTGGTCTTTTTCCACATCTCCATGCTCAAGGGAGGGATAAAGGGAGCAATTGATAACTGTTTCTATCACTTTCATCCCCAGGCAGAGGTCACAAGTTACCACTGCACCTTTTATTGTTTGTTTTTGCCCTTTCTCCTCTCCAGTATAATCCATCTTCCTTCCTCCCTCTGCCACTCTTAAATGATCTTTGGGGTTTTTTTGCTCTTTCCCTTGGTCTCTTCATGTTTCTTATGTAGAAAGAAAAGAGTCAGAAGACTGAGCTTCTAAGTCTTGGCAACTCTGCAGAGTTTGTGTTCTGAATGACTGGAAAGCGTTGGAGCTCTGTAGAACATAAGGGAAGTATAGGCTGTCTGTTCCTTTAGTAACCTTGCAGGAGAAGATCTGGAATGAGAAGGGCCTATTTGTATAATACATAAACTTTCTAGGCTTTGATGAGTGTGCTAACAAGAAATCCTAACAGGCAGTTTTCCAAAGAGAGGGCAGGTTGGAGGCAACGTGCAGAATTAAATTAACCTCATAGTCAGAAGGTCTGTAATCTAGTGCCATTTTTGCCTCTAACTGGCTGTGTGATCTTAAATAAATAATTTAGACCTTTTTATACTTTTGATTCCTTATTTCCAAAATTAGCATTTAGAATAGAGGATTTCTAAGGCCTTGCACAGTTTTAAAATTTTCCAGTAAAACTGAGTAACTGTAGTGTTAAGAATAACTTTTTTGGTACATTTTTTAAAACTTTTGGTTTTTGACCCACATGAAGTCAGTATATGAGTTATATTTTTTCTTTCATGCAAAACTGATATTCTGGGGAAAATTTGAGGGGATTTATTTAAATATAATTAAATAAAATTTTAATAACATTCTATGATAGACAATCTGCATTGAGCACATTTTAATTTTGTGTGAGACTTACATTATACTTCTACAGTACTGACCATTTCCTTTGGATAGCCATCCTTTCACGCACTGGAGTCTCTGAAGGGACTCCTCAAGCATTTGCCTATTAATAAAAAATGTCGAGTTTATTATTATCTATGTCATATCTTAGGTATCAAGAAAAACTTAATTCCTATAGATGAAGAACCTCAATTGTAGCCTTTTAGGTATTTACACACTACACAATTACTAACATTTTTTGAGAGTATTTCAGTGGGTGAAAGAGCTTACTTCTTTATTTTTGTTTTCTTTATTTATACTTCTTCCAATATTTAGAAACTTGTATAACATTTTTCCTTCTTCCATATATTTTATGTAATAAAGATCCTGTGTCTTAATTGTATATTAAAATAAATTTATCAGATAATTATGTAAATATACTAATGGTAAAGTATTTGGGTAAGTGAGACTATTAAAACTAAGTTAAACTACTAAATGCAACTTAACCTAGTAATTACTGAGATTTTTAAAAAATAAAACTTTAAAAACATATTAGTAATCATAGTAAAATGCACAAAATTTTGATCCTAGATTTTGCTCAAACACCAGATAATTTTGACCAAGAATTATTTGGTAAGTTAAAACATGTCTCTTAGAATTGCTATGTGTATGACCTCAGAACCTATAAAATTAGCTGAAGGAAGACACTGATTTTTGTGTTTATTTTCTATGATCAATACTATGTTTCTAAATTATTGTAAAAATGAGGTGACCATTAAAATTCTTAGAAGTAACTACCAGGTTTTATTATCACTAGATCGTAATTTCTATCAGTGGCCCATGCAAAATAAGCTAAATCTATATAACATGCTTCTAAATACTTTTTTAGATCAAAGAAAACAAAGAATTCAATTGATAAATCAACTGAGACTGACAATGGGTATGTATCCCTTGATGGGAAAAAGACTGTTAAAAGCAGTGAAGATGGAGTACAAAGCCATGAACCTCAGTGTGAAACTATTCAACCAGAAGAGACAGCCTGGAACAAAGGAACACTGAGGAGCATTCCCAACAAAGTAAGTGTGATTTTTTAAAAAATAGTTTGCATATGTGGTTTTCCATTAGTTAATGGGAAATGACTTAAGACATAGTAGTTTCCCTTGAACTATATATTTTCTCCAGAATTTATTCTACCAGCCTTAACAAATCATGCTGATGAAGCTGAAAATCAAACAAATATTTATAAACTTTTTTGCCAGTATAACTTAGTACCTTCTTGAATTGCTTAATGACTCAAATTTTCCCAAAATGTTAAAGCACTTAATAATATCATGGTTGATGCTTATTAAACTTTACCTTTTCTTGCCCTATATTCATGAGTGTAAGAATTTGTTTTAAATGGAACACCTAAATTATTCTAGAAATGGAGCTAGGAACCTGATTTTCCATTCATGTTTTCCATAAGAAAATATTGCCTTATTTTCTCTATTTTTATTACATTTGGGATCAGCACACTTGTTTTGTTGTTTGTTTGTTTACTTTTCCAAAATAAAAAAAGACATCCTAGCTTATTGTAACAAAGCCTAATGTAACATCTCTATTTCTTTGTTTCACTGAATTTTTTTGTTAAACAACTTACTTAAAAGCTGTTCCAGAAAAAGAAAAACATGGTCAAATTAAAAGATGTTAACTGTTACATTTAAGAATGTGAGTATGCACATTTGTGTTGAAGAAATAAGAAAAGAAGATTCTCTGATTTTGAATAAAGTATATGTCACTCCTTGACAGTACCTTTATGTTCAGTACCAGTAGATAGCATGGGACTGCAATGAAATATAGCCCATTACTTGATTTTAGGTTGTTGAAACATTTAGCTCTGATAGTATGAGCCTCACATCACTATCATCACTCAACAAATAAGTTTTCAATCATTCAGCTTTCAAACATACTTTCAGGTATGTATTAACTACTAAGGCTATATGAAAGTGTCAGTAACCCTTATATTCTGGAGTCTCTCAACCTCAGAATTTCTGATCGATGTCTCTTACAAATTTATATGTACATAATGTCTAATACAGGCACACATTCAACTACGATTCACCTCCTCCTGCTTCATAAGCCATCATTTAATCAGTGGTGGTCTTATAATTAATCACATTATCATTTTGCAAAAATAGTATAATTCATTTCAGATTTCTCACCTTTTTTAAATGGTCTCTGTCCTGCTTTTATCCTGTTTTATATATTTTTTAATTTTGTAAGCTATTTCAAATCCTTTTATGAACAGAAACATTATAGAACAATATTTGACAAATGGCTGTGGAATTACTCCTAAAATTAAAATACCAGTATAGTCACTGATTAAGGTTTTTTTTTCCCAGAAAATCAAGTAGTATATTCAATCACTTTGAGGCTTTTTAAGGTGTTTGAAGCTGTCTGTCTATATGAGGAAGGATCCAAAAAGACAGAGTTTATTTATAAAAAAATTGTGTATTCTTACACGTTTAAACTTCAGCCACCTTCAAAGTACTCTCAATTTGATGCAGTACACCTATCAAGACTTTTTTCCACTGCTCAAAACAGTTTTTGAACTCGTTGATTTTGATGCCTTTTAGTGCTTACGCCGTTTTTTGTTTCACCTCTTCCACATCAGCAAAACATTTCCCATGAGAATTTTTTTCATTCAGGGAAACAAAAACAGTTTCTCAGGCCAGATTGGGTCAATAGGGAGGGTGGGGCACGGGGGTCATGCTGTTTTTGGTCAAAATCTGCTGAACACTTAGCGTGGTGTGGGCAGGTGTACTTGAAAATCACCCATCGTGAAATGGGCAAATGTGCTGAAAGTCTTCAGAAAGAACTCACAGAATTCACTGAATTTGAACGCAGCCTCTGACAACAGTGCCAGCTGGTACACTGATACAGATGGGTTCCTAGACCACTCACCTAGCTGGGGAAGCGTGTACTACGAGGGGTCCACCCTCCACAACATAGTTCCGGTTTTTGGGGGTTCCCTCTCGTATATATTATTATAAATTTTGCACTTTTAAAACTACAAAGTAAGTTAGAAATTACCAGTAACCCTCTTTTTGTACTTCCATTTTTAGGATACCCAAAGGACAAGAACCAATGTCTCTGATGAAGTCTCCAGCGAGGAAGGTCCTGAAACAGGATACCCATTACGCCGTCATGTGGACAGACCTTCTGAGAGCATTCTTCGGAATAGGAAGTCGCACCATTATAAGAAACATTACCCTAATGAGGTATATACTTTGGCCTTACATATGTGTGTGTGTATGTGTGTGTGTATGTATATTCTGTATTATTCTGAATGTTACTAATTTACAGTTTCAACAATTGAATATAATTATTAAAATAACATATTTCCCATCAGTATCAATATCTTACTGTAACATGATCTGGATTTATAGAATAGCAGTTTTAGATTTATGTGTTGCACATAAAATAAATAACCACGTATTTGTACTCATTTTGTGTATTATCTCTGAAGACTCATACATCCAGTTTCTTGTTTACTTTTAAAGAAGCCCATCTTGCAGAGATAATCTGTGAGCTCCTGTGTTAGTCTTTCCCACAATTTGAAAGGCTTTATAAATATTGATTATATCAAAGTTATTATTCTAAGAGACTTTCTTTATGTTCTTATCACCAGTTATCAAGTTGCCCATACTGTTAAATTCAGTATTTTTTCATCTTTGACTCTTTTTTTATTAATGATTGTTTTTTTCTAAATTCTTTTCTAACTTATCACATCTTTTGAAGTTATCATATCTCTTGAACCTATTTAAATAGGAAAAGAATTTTATTCAATTATATTTTCAGTTTTTATTCTAAAGACAGAACATTTCATTATCTGGCTTCCAAACACATTAATTCCCTTTTCTTTTCTTGGACTATATTAGCATTTTTTTGTTAATGATTTAGGGTTAAACTTTTGAAAAAATCAAGTACGCTCTTCTGGAATGTGAATACTTTGAGGGTTTTAAGAAGTGAGAGTTATTTGTTCTTGATATAGTCTTTCTTCTCTGTGTTTTTATCTCTAGTTAATTTTTCTGGTGACCAGCTATTTTTTTTTCTCTCAGTAGCTGTCATTATACAGACACTAATGCCAGGGTGTCTGCTATTGCCTCTTTACTCACATCGTCTGGTGTATTGCTGTTCCCTGTTCCAAAACTGGATAACCCTGCTTGTGAAATCCAAAGCCTTACTCTACAGACAGAAGTCATTTGTTCCTGGAAGGGATTCAGGACCTTGTATAGAAGATCTCCACTTTTCCATAGAATAAATTGCTTGGCTTTACAGATACTTTTCTCACTCCATAATCGTTGCTGTTCTGAGGGTTTGCAGCTGTGTTTTGAACTACTGAGATTCTTAAAGGGCAGAATGTTATCTGCTAATGTTAACTTTTAAATACATATGTTGCTTAAAAGCTTCTAGATTTTATGCTCAAGTAAAGCTGATAATTAGCTAGTAGGCATTGGCTGTTTTAAATCTTTTTTTAATCATATAAAAGATTACATAAACAAAACCTGGTCTTCATATTCTTCATCTGTAAGGTAAGGAACTTTAGGCTAGAATATTTAAAAAGCTTCATTCCATTCCAAAATATTTGACTCAAGTCAAACCATCTTCAAAGTGTATTTTACATAAAGCAAAACAAAACCTCCTTTAAGTAAAATTGAGACAGGAAGTCTGTAATGTTGTTTTGTATCTTTATATATATATTACCATACTCTTCAAATTGTTGGTGATATTTTTATTTAAGGGTGAGGCACAAATAAATTATTTGTGGAAGCACTTTGTGCGTGGGTAGGACTGTATAAGCCTCACTATCTATAGATCTACATTTTTAGGGGGCATTTCATTTTTCAAGAAAAATCAAGTCTTTGGTCCATGGGAATGCAAGATATTATACTGGGCTACCATGGCGTTTGGCACCAACAGGGTTGGGGATGAGGTGGTGTTCAATGTGTGGCCTTTTACTCAACCCCCTTTTCATAACCCTTCACCTCCCACCCCTAACTGAGTTCTTGCCTTTTTCTACTATCTACTATATCTGGTTGGCTTCTTCCAGTCACCTGTTGGGAAGATGATGGAATTACATGAATATCTGGGATATAGAAGGTATCCTTGGAAATTGTGATAGCTTCTTAGAACCATTTGTCTTTTTTTTTCCTATTCTGTCCTGCTTTAACTCTACAAGTATCTTTTAAGTTTTATTCTCTATTATAGATAAGATTTTCATCTAATAAAAGTAACATTTGATGGAAAACAATGAAGAAACTATGGGCTTGGAATTAAATAAATAGTGACTTTGGAAAAATGATTTAAGTTCTCTGAATCTCAGTTTCTGCAAGTATAATGGGGAGAGGAGAGCAGCAGCATCAGATTGTTAGGATTAAATAAGATTATGAATAATTGCCTGACAAAAAGCACTCGTTATAAATGCTTATTCCTTTCAAATAAATAATCCTTCTCTTAATTTCATTATGTGCTGTATTAGCTGTCTAAAGATTTGAAATAAACAGAGCAAATTAAGTGAGCTATTAATTTGAGCTGTTTAGTTCTAAAATTTCCTATTTTTGGTCTTTATTCAGCAGTTTGTAATGAAATTCTAAGTGGCCATTTATCGCCTAAATATTGCAGGTACAATACTCTTCGAAATGTAAGGTATTATAGGCAATAATTTTTACATTATACATTTATAAAAGGCCCCACTTCATAATCAGTATTTGGCAAAATACTTTTATAAGGAATTATAGGTATTTTCTTATTCCTGAAATCACCCATTAGTTTTGGTTCAACAGTCATTGGGCCTTTAATCTGTTACTTATTTATGTATTTGATTAGCAAGTCTGCATCAGAAATTAGTGATTGATAATATCAAAAATTTTAAATCAGCAGTTACTGATTGCTTAATACATTCTGTGCCTTGTTATCTTATGAAAACTGTTGTGATGAAAACTGCTTATCCTTCAAGTATTCTGTATGACAGTGAATCTGAAATCTTTTTGGAGGGGTTTTTTGTAAAAAAACAAAAAAAACTTATTTTTACGCTTTTTTCTGCAACTTTTTTCTTTTTATTTCTTTATTCATTTTCTTATTCAGCTGGTTCAAAATAATTTTACTTCTCTCTCAAACATCCCTCCCACAAACAATCTTTCACAGTAAATATACATGATGCTCCATTCTAATATTTATGTTAATTATCAATAATATATCTCATTAAAGATATTTTATTACCTGTGGTAAGGACGGTTTCTGTTTTTGATGTACATATAGTGTATTTGAAAGTTATAATTCGTTTGAGAATGTGAAATACATGAACATTTAATTAACACAGATAATATTGTAGGTGCTGGGGAGCAAGACAAAATTTATTGTCAAATGAATATAATAATAACTCACTTCAAGGACAAAGTGTTCAGCTCTAAATAGAAGACTTTAAACTAACATTTGCTTAGCCCCAGCTTTGTACAGGTTTGTCTTAAAAGCTAGAGTGCTCATTTAATGTTTAATATTTCTTTAAAGTAGGTAGTTTATTCCCCATTGATATCAATAGATGACTAAACTAAGGCTCAGAAACAAGGTAAGCTATCTAGAAAGGGATAGAGATGGTGATTTCCTGATACTTTGTTAAGTAGGCTTTAAAGGAGAGTAGAATTCATAATGAGAGGTAGAAACATAATCAGAGGCCAGAGTGGCAAAGAACAAGCTATGTTTAGGGGTTAGGGAGTAGCCCACTGTCACTGGAGGAGAAGGCTGTGGTACAGAGAAGTGAAAACAAGCCCAAAAGTAGCCATTTGAAGACAAGCGTACTAGGTGAAGGGATTTGAACTTTATCCAGGAGAGCAGCAGTAGGAAGCCACAGAAGGGTTTTGGTTAGAGGAGTGAAAGAACAGCTCTACTTCGGGAAGGTTAATCTGGAAAGAGGGAAGGCCTTTTAGGTGGGGGTCAATTAGGAGTCTCTCATAGCAAACAAAGTATGAATGATAACTGGTGATAGCATGGGAAAGAAAAAGAAATAATTATAAAACAGTTTAAAGGTAGAATGGACAAATCTTAATGACAGCTGAGAACAAATCTAAAATTTCAGCACACTTTGCTATAAGGATGGCTTTTAATCATTCTTTATTCAGTACAAGTTATTTTTAATTCCTTTAAATTAGTATTTTACTTTAAACTGTTTATTTCGTACATTAAAAAACTCCTAGGAAAAAAGAAAATTGATTAGAAATTATTTAACTTGTGTCTTCTAGTTTTTCACTTTTATAAAGTATCTCAAAAATGTGAACTGGTATTTATCTTTATGATATAGATTATATGTTAATTTATGTCAATTTATAGAACCTGCTCTTTGAGAAACAAAAACAGTAGATACATGAAATCTGTTGTTGCTAAAAAAGACTAAGAAAACTCCATTAAACACGCCAATTACAGTGGGTGACTGTGCAGTCCATTATCAGTTTAGGCCTTTGCCTACCTGAATTCTGAACTTCGTGTAAAGTTTAAGAGAAGGCACAGTCTTTGCATGCAAAATAACACTTGAGCTGAAATATGAAATAAATTTTGGTATGAGGAAATTTTGTTACTCCTTAAAAACTAATTTGTATTTTTAATGTTTTGCTACCTATTTCACTGTCACTTGACAGTGTATTTGTTGTTTTAGCAAAAAGTAGCAATATATGGTTCTAATAGAATCCTTTGAGTTGGAAAGGGCACATAAATTGTATTAATGTCAAAGACTATCTTAATTTCAGGATGCCCCTAAATCGGGTACTAGTTGCAGCTCTCGCTGTTCAAGTTCCAGACAGGATTCTGAGAGCACAAGGCCAGAATCTGAAACAGAAGATGTGTTATGGGAAGACTTGTTACATTGTGCAGAATGCCGATCATCTTGTACCAGTGAGACAGATATGGAAAATCCTCATATTAATCCATGTGTGAAAAAAGAATATAGAGATGATCCTTTTCACCAGGTTGGTTTACAGTGTTGGATTATGTGGGACTATTTGTCCAGCTCCTTGGAATATATGTACAGATTTTATAGAAGTAAAGAAAAAGCTTACATTCAATTAAAATAATAGTCCTATAATTTTTTTTTTTAAACTGTGAGCTGTAGTCGGGCTTCATTGGAACATAGAATATTTGTATTTATGTTATAGTTGTGTTTTCACCTTGCAAACATATGTTCCTGAAAAGCTGTTGGTAAATGGAGTTTTGTAAGTCCAATTGTGTTTTAGATGCAGTCATCTTTTTCTCACTCAGCATACTTCATGATCAGATTTACCTACACCTGTGGCCTAAGCTAGGATTCACAAAGGTGTATTTTATGAATATCAGATTTTTATCTTCAAATGCCTACAGCAATGCTATCCAGTAGAAATACAATGAGTCATGTGTGTAATCTAAAATTTTCTGGTTCCTCATTAAAAATATTTTAACAGGTGAAATTAATTTTAATATCTTATTTAACCCAAGGTACTCAAAATATCACTTCAACATATAACTAGTATGGAAAGTATTAATGAAATGGTTTTTTTCTTTTTAATACTAAGTCTTCAAAATCTATTGTGAACACTTAGAGCACATCTCACGTAGACTAGCCTCATTTCATGTATTCAGTAGCCACATGTGAGTAGGGTTTACCATATTGGACAGCACAGGTCTATGGGACACCTTCATTTGAATGTCCTAGCAGTACCACAATATCTTCCCCTATAAATCTGTTTTTCTTATGGCACTTAAACTCATGATGAATGACATCTCCATCCATCTACTCACTTGTCCAGAAACCTGGTGGTCATTTAAAATCCTCACCCTTCCTTACTTTCTTCTCTTTCTTATCCAAGTCCTCATGAAATCCTAATAATAAAACCATCAAAAATACTCTTAGAAAACCAGAGATAGAAGAGAACTTCCTTAATCTAATCAACGGAAGCTATCAAAGAACCTTCTAAAAACTTACATATTTAATGATGAAATTTTAGGCACATTATCACTGCTTTTTCTATCAAAATTCTACCAGTATGTTTGTCTCTGTTTTCAGTTGGACTTAGATTTAAAAGTTCATGTTAAAGAACAAAATGTGTCAATAGTAGAAGCAATTTTGAAGAATTACAGGGACTTTCTATACTAGATATAAATATTTACTTTAATGGTATAGTAATTAAGATAGTATGGTATAGACCCTGGCTGGTATGACTCAGTTGGAGCGTCATCCCGTAGCCAAAGGGTTGCAGGTTCGATTCCTAATCAGGGCACATACCTAGATTGCAGGTGCGTTCCTGGTCCAGGTGTGTACAATCCCAAAATCAGGTGGATGCAGGAGGCAGCTGGTCAGTGCTTCTCTCTCACATGTTTTTCTCCCTCCTTCTCTACCTTCTTCTCTCTAAAAAGAAATGAAAAAAATATCCTCAGGTGAGGATTTAAAAAAAAAAAGACAGTATGATGTTAGGTATATGCTAGGGACTGAATATTTGTGTCCCCACCAAAATATGTATGTTGAAACCTAATCCCCAATATGATAGTATTTGGAGATGGGGCCTTTGGGGGACAATTAGGCCATTGAGGGTGGCGCTCTCATGAATAGGATTAATGCCATCATTAATGAGGCTCCAGAGAGCTACCTTGCTCCTTTCACATGTGAGATTATAGCAAAAAGAAGGCAGATCTCACCAGACACTGAATCTGTTAACACCTTGATCTGTAGACTTTGCATCCTCCAGAACTGTGAGAATTAGATTTCTGTTGTTTCTAAGCCATCCAGTCGATGGTAAAATTTTGTTATAGCAGCCCAAAACAGACTAAAACAGTATATAAACAAATAGACCGACAGGTCAGAATATTCAGTATATGGTTGTGGGTCAAATGATAAATCCATATCCATAAATTTATTCCAGATAGTTCCTAAAGGGAAAAAAAAGCACAGATAGTTTGTAAATGTGAGGAAGCAAAACTTTAAACTAACTTAGAAGAAAGTATAGGAGAAAAATCTTTGTTTCTTCCTGTGTATGAGAAGAGTTTTTTAAATGATACAGAAAGCACAAGCAAACTTTAAAAATTAGGGGATTGACACATCTGAATATCTTAAAATGTAAAACTTTGAGCTATAAATTAAGCCATAAATATTTTTAAAAGACAAACCAGAGGCCAGAAGATATTTCCAACATATTAACTATCAAAGTCTTACTGTACAGAGCACACAAAGAACTTCAACAGATGAACAAGTAAAAGGCAAATGACTCAGAAGAAAAGGACAAAGGATGTGAACAGGCAACTCCTCTAGATGGCTAATACATAATAAGTAAAAGTGGTCAGCTTTCTTAGCAATCAGGGAAATGTAAATTAGAACAGTGAGATACAATTTCATATTGATCAGCCTGTCAAAAATTATTTAATCTGATCAATTTGAACATTGGCAAGAATGTGAAGAAGGAACTCTTATTCAGTGCTGATATTAAATATGAATTTGTACAACTACTTTGGAGAGCCGTTTGTCGTTATGTAGTAAGATTGAAGGTCTGCATACTCAAGGACTCTTCATCACTAAGGAAACCTTAGAAGATGGACACAAGGAGACATATCAAAATAATTTTTATGTGTATGATATTGCATTGTGCATGATATTAAAAAATGAAAAATGTAGTAGAATTAATCATGGTTATATGATAAAAAAACAATACAGCAGTGAAATTGAATGAATTCAACTTTATCAAAAAGAGTAAGTCTTGTGAATTTGAATGAAAAAAGCAATACATACAATATACCATTTATATACAGTTTTAAAACATGCAGGGCTATATTGTATACTATTATGGATAAAAACATACAAAGGAATAGTAAACACCAAATTTAGGGTAATAAATCTGGGGACTAAAAGAAGGGAATGAGTTACAAACAGTTTCAATTTCTCCTGTAACATTTTTTAATTAAAATATCTGGAGCAAATAAGGGGGAAAGTTAAAATATGATAAAACTGAGTGTTGTTATTCTTTATCTGGTTGAAACATTTCATTTAAAAATATTTTCATTAGTTTTGGCATTGGCTAAGGGAAAGTGTTATGGGATAGAAGTTTTGCTACAGGAAGTTGACTGAGAATGAGGAATGAGGTTTAAGAAGTAGGGCTGGGAAAATTTGGGAGAAAGGAAATACTAGTTAGATGAAGAAATATAATTTTAGTCCCCACCCACCTCCCAAAGATGTGAAATGTTTGAGCACATATGTATATAGAAGAAAACCAGTAGGGAAGAATTGAAGAGGTACAAGAGGAAAGATTGAATGATGTTTCTTAGGATTCTGAAGGGAAAGCATAATTAGGGAGCTTAAATTTCTCTTCAGCAGGAAAAGGAGTACATCCCCTGTTGAAATAGGAGAAGAAAGAGTGCATGAAGCAAGTAAGATGATGAGAGTTACCGCCTGATGATCTTTATTCTGTGAGTGCAGGAGGTTAGGAGGCCTATTACAATAAAAGTGAGATGATAGAGGACTTGTGGGTGATAATAAAGGCCTGAAGTTATCATTTGTGGGAAACGGAGATAGTAGAGAGAGAATGTGTGTGTCCATATAGTCAATGCCAATTAAAAAAGTCACACTGTCACATGGCTGAGGGTCCAGTGAGAATCTGAAACCATGAATTTGTAGCTGCTCGTTCCACACAATTGTGTGATATTCTCTGGAATATAGTCATAATAATCATAACAGCAAACATTTAATAAGCATTTACTGTATGCCAGCTACAGTGCAATGTAATCTAGATGCATTATCGCATGTAATCCTCACAACCTCTGACAGTGTGGTTTATTTTTTATTTTATAGATGAAAAAATTGAAGCCCAGAATCAAATACACCCAAAGTCACATAGCATAGGTGCTCACTAAATAGCTGTTATTCAAGAGACAGGAGAGGGAATGATATACTGATTGAAATAATAGATGTGCTAAGTATCTAGACATGTTAGATTGAGAAGGAAGTGAAACCAAGAAGAGATTGATAGGCTGAAGTATACGTATATTCAAGGAAACAAGTGTTTTAGAATTGAAGGTTTGAGAGACCTGGTAAGATGAAAGGTATAGTTGAAGACTCATTTCAGAAGTTAAGAAATTCTGTGTGATAACAAGGTCCAGGTTGTGGCCATGGTGATAGCAAAAGTTCTTTGGAATTTAAGAAGTGAAAAAGTAATAACAATTAATCCATGAGAATAGGGTTGATCCATGAGGGTAACTGCAGTCATTTGCATATTCACCTGAGTCATTGAGGATAACACCTCGAATTGAGGTTTAAGAAAATGCCTGTGAACTGTTATCTCAGAGATACCATAAGCTGCACAGAAGCAGAGACCATGTGTTCTTTCGCTCATTGTTGTATCACACAGCGCCTGGTACATAGTAGGTGTTTAATAAATATAAGTTGAGTAAATGAATGAAATGAAATAAAAATTTTAAAAAGCATGCTAATTAGGGCTTTCTTAAATGATTAAAAATTGTCTTTAATGAATGCTATACAGAATAAATTTGCCCTAAATCTTTAACACCATTCCGCTTCTTTTTTACTAAGATAAAGACTTTTTAATGTTCTACTCTGTGTATCTAATTACAGTATTGTAGGTTTTCATTGGTATTACTTCAGGATGAAAGACTTGATTTTACGCACATTCTTACCCTCCGACTTCTGAAAAATAAGCTCAAGTTTTCAGTTTTACTAGTAGCCATGTAATGGAAATTAGCGCTCTTTAATGAAAAGCACCAGGTTTTTTTTCTTAGTAGGTTTGGAGAACCCTTTTCAGTCTATCATAAAGACTGAAAAATCTCTCATGAAGAAATGAGCTTTTGAATCAGTGTATTTTAGTCAAATTTGTAGTTTTGTTTTTTATTTTCTTTTTAAATAGTAACTGAAACATTTCTACAAGGGAAAATTTGTAGTTTTATTGTTTGTTTTGTTTTCTTTTTAAATAGTAACTGAAATGTTTCTACAGGGAAAAATTTGTAGTTTTATTTTACAGTTTGTTTTATTTTCTTTTTAAATAGTAACTGAAACATTTCTTTAGGAGAAAACATTCCTCCTCTAGTCATGGCTGAATATATAATAAAATATAAAGCCATATTTAAGTGAAATTCATCTTTCAGTAGGGAAAGCCAGATTTTAATCGATACAGCTCCCACAGGTGGAAACTCCAGTAAAGCAGTTGTTGTGGTGAATTTATTTGAAATAAAACCTTCCACCATATAAGTGTTACGGTTTTCAGGCAATTTTGAATGAACCAGGAGCAAACCAGTTAAGATTTTGAATGAGGATAAAAACAATCATTAAAAGACTTCCAAATTTCAGTTTGAACAACATACAAAGAAGAGTCTTATGAGCTAAAATTATAAAATGGAATTATTTGCTCCAATGTTTTTCCTGAGCCTTTTTTTTTTCTCGTAACATCTTAGTAATGCTGCTCTCCATACATTTAGTCAGTACATGTTTCAACAATTCCGTTTTTCAGAATACATTTGAGAAACACACACAGACATACATTTGACAAATACACAGACGTAGGGTTTTTTAATTAACTCTTTTAAAGTCATGAGTTTCTAGTTGCTCTCTTATCTCGCCTTTTTTGGCTTTCTAGAAATGGGAAAATGATAACAAATCTACTGGGAAGGTAGCTAGGCAAAATGAGTACTGTTATAAGGAGAGTGAAGAACTTGATTACTGTTTCTGTCTGTAGATGGACCTTTGTGGAATTGGTATGCCTTGCTTCGTGTAATGGGAAAACCTTTAATTCACTGTTACAGACGGAGTTAAAAGAAAGGGAAGGGAGGGTAGGGGAGAGAGAGACTGTGTCAGTGGTTGAAATCTGTGGTTAACTACCCATATCTCATAGCTCTTAAGGTTCTCCAGTAGTGAAATATATACCATTAAGGTCAATGTATATTAAAATTCCATGTTTTTGGAGCCCTGGCTGGGTAGCTCAGTTGGTTAGAGTATTGTCCCAATACACCATGGTTGCAGGTTAAATCCCCTTTCAGGGCACATACAAGAATCAACCAATGAATGTATAAATAAGTGGAATAATAAATTGATATTTTTCTCTCTCTCCTTTCCCGTCTCTCTCTCTCTCTCTTAAATCAATAAAAAAATTAAGATACTATGTCTTTGGGAAAGATACATTTTTAGAAGATACCTCTTGATAGTCAAATAGCTACATGTAAAAGGCAAAATATTTATGCGATCTGAAGAGAAACCACAGTATAGCTAGCTACATGTAAAAGAGCTTTGCTAATAGCATGACTCCTGGCATTGTGGTTTGCCTGTAATTATCCATCAATTTTTATGCTGCTTATAGTAAATATAGTATATACAGGTTTATATAAATGAAATTAATGTATAAGGTCAGAATAATAATTTCACTTATCTGTTTCCTTACATGTTGTTGAGTTACTATTTTATACCTTTAATTGTAATGAGTCAGTGCAACTCTACTTCCCCCTAGAGGAAAATATATTCCTTAAATTTACAGAAATAGCCCTGGCTGGTGCGACTCAGTGAATTGAGCACCTGCCTGCAAACCAAAGGGTGGCCTGTTCGATTTCCAGTGAAGGCACATGCCTGGGTTGCGGGCCAGGTCCCCAGTAGGGAGTGCATGATAGGCAACCGCACGTTGATGTTTCTTTCCCTCTTTCTCCCTTCCCCTCTCTAAAAATAAATCTTTTTTAAAAAATGTACAGAAACATATTTTAATCCTATTTTAATCATATATGGCTCTCCAAAGAATAAATAAAAGTAGAATATATTATTCTGTTCAGTCTTAGAAGTCATTTTAATGAAATACATTATAACATAAGTTAGAAATACTATAATGTCAACAAAGAAATTCATCCCATTCTGGATCTAATCTTTTAGTGTTACCTCTTTCAGTATCTGATAATGTAAAGATTACTGTTTCATTAATTTTGTTGCTATCTTTAACCCCCAACTGTCCTATTTTAAACTTTCATTCCTTTAATTGTAGATCTAAAGCAAACAAAAAACTAATGTAAGCATCTGATCCTTTGTATTAAAGCTTTCAATTTTTCTTTTTACCTTTTTTTATTCCTTGAAACATTGAGAAATACTTTATATTACTTGGGAGAGTACTTCTGGTTATGTGTGCTTCAGTTTGCAAAATTTGCTCTGAGGAAAAAAAAGTTAAATTGACCCTTTGGAAAAATACTAGAGTAAAATATCAGATAAGTCAAGTATTAAGGGTAGGTGTATGAGGAAGAGTCTCTTTCAGGATGGTACTCTATCCCTATTTAGTCTTCCAAAGAAGTTCGAATCTCAGTTGTCATATTTTTTTTGTACTGAGTGATCATAAGTTGAACAATCAGTAGTATGAACAACTTGATAATTCATTTGTCTTTGAACATTAGTAACTATGTAGACTGATCAACTAAGTGCTTTTGCTGACACATTTTAGAGTATTTTTGAATAATAGGTTGCCTAATATGTTACAGAAAGTTCTTAATTTACATATTTTTATAACTAATATCTTAAAAAATTTAGTGTCATTAAATTCTATGTGTATAGATACATATATAGCTATGCAGATATGTTCTATTTATAAAATACAGATGCATTCACCTATTTCTGTTTTATGATATAGTTAAAATTGTGTGTGTGTGTATATATATGTATATACATGTGTATGTTTTATTTGTGAAATGAGATAAATGTATTCACCAATTTCTATTTATTTTTTATAGAGTCATTTGCCCTGGCTCCACAGCTCCCACCCGGGATTAGAAAAAATAAGTGCTATAGTGTGGGAAGGCAATGACTGTAAGAAAGCAGACATGTCTGTTCTTGAAATCAGTGGAATGATAATGAACAGAGTGAGTTTTTACGTTTCTCTTCTTATAGTTCAAGGATAAAACAATGATTATTAATATATTAAGTACTGAAACGTTATGCTTATAACCTACTTCCTCATTTAGCCAACCTGAAAACAAAGTTATTTGTAGGTGACTTTGTTGTTGATTTAAACAGTGATTTGTGAGCAAACCAATCTCATCTTTTATCATTTTCATTCTTGTGAACAAGAATAGATACAATCTAAAATTTTCTTTTATGCTATTCTTTCTTTGGCTTTCAATGCACAAATTGAGGAACTGCTAGATATTTAGAAGTTTTGATGAAGATTTATTTTTCTTTATCATCCCTCCTGGCTCATTTATTTATTAGTGCCCAGAGAATAAAAAAAATTCAAACAAGAAAATTTGTATTGACACTTGCCTGCCTTGTTAAATGTATAAAAGATATACAGATAAGAGTAAACATCTTGAGTAGTTGGAAGGCGAGTACAAATACTGTGGATTTTAATTTCAGTTTCTATTATATTGTTGTTTGTTGTTATGTTTTTTTTTTATCAGATTATTGCTGCTTTAAAATCTTACCTGATTTCTCTGGGCAACTAGTCATGATTTAATTTCCAGTTCTAAATTTCTTGTGCATTGTTATGCTAGAACTGTTGTATACACTTTATGTAGGACAGGAATTAAAATAACTGTGTAGAAATTGATCTACTTCCTCTTTCATATCTCACTGTGAGTAATGAAAAGCTATTAACAAGAAGCCTCTAGTTGTTGCTCTACATCTTTAACTATTGGTGAACTTAGCAGCTCACTTACATAATATATAAAATGATAAGAAATTAGATAGATGATATTTAAGGTTTTTTCCAGTTCTGCCATTCTTATATTTTCCAGTGATTTAAGTTTTAGTTTCCTTTTTTATAATTACCCTACCCTTTTCCCCCGTCTCATTTAACTGTCCCTTCTCTAACATTTTTTTCTCTTCTAAAATGGTTTTAGAATTTAAGGAGATGTCCATTTGTATATTGAGCTCTTTGAAGAAAACAAATTACAAATTTATCAAATAAGTACAGAACTAAATTTAAGTGGATATGAGATATCATTAATATTGCAGTATTTGTGAGTATTTCTAACTTTTGAAATAATGAGATACAAAGAATTTTTTTAAGGTCTGGGTAAGACCAAGATAGTTAAAGCCCTTTTAGCATCTACTCAGTGAATTAGGGATCTGATAATAAACTGTTTTTAAAAACTGAAGAAATGACTTAGTTTTTACATGTAATAGAGGCTCTGAAACTTTGAGTAAATTTAAATTTTATTATTCATGATTAAAACTAATGTGTATTTTAACAAACTGATTTAATATTGCTATAACAAAAATCATACTTAATAGGAATTCATTTTACTATAGGTAAAATTTGTGTAAGTTTTTTTTTTTTCTTTTCTCTTTATAAAGGTGAATAGCCATGTACCAGGAATAGGATACCAGATTTTTGGAAATGCAATCTCTATCATCCTGGGTTTAACTCCATTTGTTTTCCGACTCTCCCAAGCTACAGACTTGGAACAACTCACAGCACATTCTGCTTCAGAACTTTATATGATTGCATTCGGTTCTAATGAAGATGTCATAGTTCTTTCTATGGTTATTATAAGTTTTGTGGTTCGTGTGTCTCTCGTGTGGATTTTCTTTTTTTTGCTCTGTGTAGCAGAAAGAACTTATAAACAGGTGGGTATATTAAAGACTTCTGAGTAGAGAATATTTTATCCTTTTCCCAATATTCAAAGTATTCCTGAAGTATTTTAGTATTTCATTAAATCATTTTGATCTGCTAATTCATTTCTTGTTTTGTTTTTGTCGTACTTAAGCAAATAAAATCATAGAAATCCACATTTTGTTTTTCTGTGGTAATCTACTTCAAAATTAATCCTTACCTTTATCTTTTTTAGCGCTTACTTTTTGCAAAACTGTTTGGACATTTAACATCAGCAAGGAGAGCTCGAAAATCTGAGGTTCCTCATTTCCGGTTGAAGAAAGTACAAAATATAAAAATGTGGCTATCTCTTCGGTCCTATCTTAAGGTAGAGTGATAGTGATAGAAGTACTCTTAATGTGCCGGCTCCCTCTCAGAGTTCCCCTTTGTCAATATGTAGGTATGTCTAGATGTGTACTCATATACATACTCACATAATGCTGTGGGGCCATACTTAGTGCTCTTTGTGCTCCATGTGCAGAAATCCAAAGTAAATGTTTAACTGGTTCTTTGTAGTAAAACACCTAAAGTCTAAAATGTGTAAGTGCATTTGAAGTAGATGATTCAAGATCAGGTTGTCCTAACTTTATCTTTGTTCATAAATCTCACCTTTTGTTTCTACCTGGGATGGTTATCTAACAAGCCAGCAGAGGGAGCTCACTGCTTAGAAAAGAATTTTAAAAAAATAATCTGAAATCAGAGTCCCCTCAGTGAAGTGGCCTACTACTATTTAAAAATATTAACTTGCCATTCCGAACCATTCTTTTAATGCTGTTCTTTTTATTTAATCTTTAAAAATAACTACTAATTATGGAAGTAAGATACTAAAAAGAAAACAACTTCAGGTGGGAAATGAGAAACATCTGAATGAATTTTAGGAAAATACTTCTGAAGATTATTTCTTTGTTTTATAAAGTAGCAATGAATATCATTATGTATGGAGTTGACCTTGAAGACCAAATACCCTCTAACATGCCTAGATCTTTAATGCTTTTTATTTTGAAATAACAATGAAAGTGAAAAAAAGTTTGCACTGTTTGTCTACCCTTCTATTTAAAATATTCATTATTCTGCTTAGTTATTTAACTTGTTAAATTCAACTAACTTAGTCTCCATTGGGAAATGCTACAAATTGGCATAGATTATTTTTTTCTCACTGTGACATTTGTTATATAGAGGGATGAATATGTCTTTGTTGCATGACTTAGCAAGAAGCCATCCCAAATTTCCCTTCTTTATCAACCCTACATAGGTATTGCATTCTTTTGTACATTGATTAATTTATTCAATAAGCATTTATTTAATGTTAACTATTTGCCATCCACTGTCCATGAGATGAAATTATTTAACCCCAGACCTAGGAATTACCCATGGAATTTACTTCCCTCTTTTGCATTTCCAACATCCAATTTATCATTAATTTCCACCCTTTCTGCTTCCAAAATATATCTTGAATTCATTTATACAATATTTGTATTTGTTTCGATTTCCACCACCTTAATTGAAACCAGTTTAGACTACTGCAGCTGCCCCTTCACTGGCCTCCCAGCATTCAGATTTCCTCCCTCAAATACTTTCTTCAGTCTGCCACCAGAGATCTTTTTAAAATGTAGATTTGACCATATAATTTTAAAACTTTCTGAAGGTTTGTCATTGCTCTTAGGATAAAGAACACAATCTAACAGGGCTTACAGTGCCCTTCATGACCTAGCGCTTGCCAGTAGCCTGTCTTTCTTGTCTCATTTTGAAACACTTTTCTGTACATTCCAGCCACACTAGACTGCTTCAGTTCTTTGAATGTACTTCAGGAAAAACTGAAGGTTTTTCCTGTTTCTGTCCTCTTACATGTTCTCTTCCTTCTGCCAAGAACATGACCATGTGCCATCTTACCCCTGTACCTAGTTTGGTATAAATACCACTTTCTTAGGAAGATCTTCCATGCCCACACAGTCTTGTATTTGGGAATTAGGAGGATGAGCCTGGGAAGAGCTCCCTGAAGAGTGACTCCCTACCAGTTTTCTCAAAGCATCTTGTACTTTTCCTTCATAGCACTTGTCACAATTTATCACCTATAAGAGTGCTTATGAGAGTGATGTCTGACTTCCTACTAGTTCCTGTGAACTTACAGACTGTCTGTTTCATCCTCTGCTGTATTTCCACCACCTAGCACAGTGCCTCATCTGAGCAGGTGCTTAAGGAACATTTGTTGAATGAATAATTAGTGTTTGAAAAAATTAAATTCATTAAGAATTTAGGAAGGTATGCTAAGAATTCCAGGCTATATATTTGCCATTTTCATTGCATTGCAAATCCTCAGGAAATAGTAACCCTTTATAAGTAAAGTTCATCTGACAAATGAGGTATATTTTCAACATTGTAAGTTATGATCAACCTATAGCGATAGATCAACACCCTAATTGAAATCATGGATTAGATGCTAATTAGTAAATATGTTTAAAAGCATTTTTCCCATTTTTCAGCGTCGAGGTCCTCAGCGATCAGTCGATGTAATAGTTTCCTCTGCTTTCCTGTTGACTATCTCAGTTGTATTTATCTGTTGTGCCCAGGTGAGTTAACTTGTTTTGTGTAGAAATTAAATAATCAGAACTACAAAGATCCAGCTTCAGAAAGTTTTCTAATAATAAACAATAAAAGTAATAATATAAATAACCCTAGTTACACAATTTTGAAATTGGCTTTTTGCAGTTGATTATTTTATTCAGTAGAATAAATAAACACATCTTATTTCTGTGTCACACTAGTGGCTAGCATATTCTCAGATGTCTATTGATTAGACCTGTAATAATCAGTTTTTGTCTACAGTTTACCTCATTACCTTTATTTCTGAAAACAAACTTATAAGTCACTATAGTTACGAAATTGTTTCAGACTATTTTCCATGAACCTCTGTTTTATTCACATTAAACATTAATTATTTTATATCTGAATTGTCATTGTGATTTGACTGCCTCATACTCTGTAAAAGAATTCTTATTGACCAAGATTAGTTAGGAGACACAAATGTATCTCGGGGTATATTTTGTACCATGACATTTAATCTTCCACCTCAAATATTATGACATACTAGATTACCTGAAAATTCTGCTTTAAAACATTATACAATGCTAGAAAAATAAAACCCAGCTTTTTAATATACATATTATATACATATCTGAGTTTATAAAACAGTCAGGGACCATGAAGATAAAACTGAAAAACAGCGATTAAGTATATGTGTGAATGTGTAGCAGCCCTAGGATAAGGAAGTGAGGTACATTGTCAGTTTTAGTATCTTAGAGACTTGAGATTTTTGTGCTCACGGGGGGACAGATGAGGCCTCGACCTGCATACATTCTTATACATGCTTACATGTAAAACCAGAACCTCAAAAGCCTGTAGTCTCTGAAAAGGTGGAACAAGAAAAGCAGTCTGCCCACCAGCATAGGAAGGTGGTAAGGAAGCTTGTCTCTGACTGCCTGAACTCTGGCAAGGAGGTGGGAGAAAGTCTCTCCTAAGAACTGTAGACCTGCATTTATTACAGATTCAGTTCCAAATGTACATTACAGGTCTTTCCCTGTAACCGCTGTTAATATAAATAGTAATTCTAGACTCCTGGATATGTAGTGGAAACAAAACCAAGACTGTTCTGGGGTATGTGACTTCAACTCACAAGATAGTCACAAATAAAACCTCCTCAGGTTTTAAAACACATAAATAAACAGTACAACATGAATATATTAACAGATCAATAAACAGCAGGAATAGACCTCCATCTACTTCAGATAATAGACTGATCAGATAGAAACTTTAAGATAAGCTTGTTTAAAATGATTAAAGACATGGGTAACACTATTAAAAATATAGATTTGAAAGAGGAACCAAACAGTTCTTTAGAGAAATAAAAAAATATGTCATTGACATTAAAAACACAACAACCAGAAGAAAATAGATTGAAAACAGCTAAAGATAGTGAACTGGGAGAAGGAAAAAAGTTACCCAGAATATAAGACAGTGATAAAGAGATGGAAATATGACAAGGGGATTGAGACAGGAGATTTATCATACATCTAACAGGAATTGCAGATGGAAAGAAGAGGGACAGCAATATTTGGAGAGATAATGGCTATAAGTTTTTCTGAATTGATGAAAGACATTAATTTTCACCACACTTAGACACAATAGAAACTGCAGAACACCAGAAAGCAAAGAGAAAAATCTTAAAAGCAACCAAAAGAAAAAAACTGAATTTTGTACTCCCAATTTCTAATTACATCTCAGTCTTTTCTTCAGAGTGTAAATTCCATGTTCCTGAAGTGTATCTTGTGATTTCTTTTTGTCTCTTATAAACATAAAATCTATTTATTGATAGCAACAAAAGATACGTGAAACATCATACTGTTGAAAGGTTTTGAATGTAAAAGGATAGAAAAAGACATTGTAGGCAAACACTAGCCAAGAGAAAGCTGGTAAATTTTAATATCAGGTGAAATAGACTGTAATCAAAGAAGCCTGACAAAAATTAAAAGAATAATTCATCAAGAAGATGAATTTGCATTGCATGTGATCCTATAACTTCAAATATATCTTTTGGCTATGTTATAGCCAAAATCAGTAGCCCTGTAGTGAGAAATTGACAAAATACCACATTGGGAGGTTTTAACACATTTAGTAATTGATAGATTAAACAGACAAAAAAATATAATGAAGTTATGTATCGAAAGACAGTCAAAATTTTATTCTAAAACTGGAGAATATTTATTCTTTTCAGGCATAAGGACAGTTATAAAAACTTTCCCATGTTCTAGGCCATAAGGTAATTCTCAACTGAAACACATACCACTTGATTTAGTTGTAAATACAGTTAGAAAACAGCAACAGCAACAAAAAACCTCATACATGTAGAGATTTTAAAACATAGATAACAAATGTTTAAAAAGGAAAAGACCAGTATTAAACTGAAATACTGGCACAGTTGGGGATTTTTTCAAAAGAATATTGGTGTAAGTTACTTTATGTCATTAAAGTTAAAAGTTTAGGCGGACAGTTTTGTAAAAATGTATAATTTATTAAAACAGACTCAAAAAAATAATTGAAAAACTGAGATCTGTAACCAGAAAGCAATATTGTTTCAGTAGTTTAAAAATCTGCCATCAACAAATATCCTCTAGATCCATGCAGTTTTACAGGTAATCCTAATCTCGCACGAAATAACAAGAAAAGAGAAAAACGGTACATTTCCCCAATCCATGTTATGCATCTAATATAACCTTGATACCAACACAAGAGATGTATAAAAATGGAAAACGATGAGTTAATTTCTCTTATTAACTTAGACACAAAATACTAGGATGGTGAAGCCAGCACTAAGATGGTGAATAACAATAAATATGCTATGATCAAGATAGTTTACTCCTGGAATGCAAAGATACTCAGCTTTAGAAAATCCATTAATCTTGTTTGAGCTTGTTTAGTTGATTAAAGGAAGAAACATCTGATCATTTCAACAGATGCGGAAAACAAATTGGTAAATTTCAATGGAGATTTATAATGCAATGACTGGAAAGTACTGTCCTTATTCTGATAAAATGTATCTTTCAAAAATTGGAGTAAACATTGTACATATAATATTCATTACCTTAGAGGTATTCATTTTAAAATCAGAAATAAGACACAATCTCTCTACAACTTCTAGTCAGAATTTTGATAGAGGGTACTAACCAGTGAATACAGGAGAAAGAAATAAATGGTATAAAGATGAAAAAGGAAAGAACAAAATCATAGACTATGTGAGTGTATGTATAGAACATCCAAATGACTTTACTAATTATTTAAAATATGATACATTTTTTAGAAGATCAAGATCAACAAAAATGGTTACATCAACATTAAAAAAAATGAATTTTGTCCTATAAGCCAGAGATCAGCAAACTACTTCTGTAAAGGGCCAGTTAGTAAATATTTTAGAATTTTGCCTGGCTCATACAGTCTCATATATTCTTCTTCTACCCCACCCCTCCCTTAAAATTTTAAGTACTATGAAAGAGACCATAAGACAAAATGGAGTCTGGGGAAAGATATTGGCAAAATATGTGACTTAAATGGCATTGTTATTCAGAATATATAAGTAACTTCTAAAATCAATAAGAAAAGCAGGCAACTTAATATAGGAAAAGTAGATATGGAATAGAAAAAGTTAACTTATGGAAGAGGAAACCCAAATGATCAATAAACATATGAGACATGTACATTCCCCCTAAGAATCAAGAAAAATAAAGTCAAATCAGTAAGAAAACACTTTATACCTATCAGGTTGGTTTAATAATACCAAGTGTGGGCAAAAATGAGGGGCAAAGGAAACTCTGATAACACTGCTGAGAGTATAAATTGGTACAGCTGTTTTAGAGACAAATTTGTAATATCTAATAAAGCTGAATATGTGAATATCCAAGGATTCAACAATTTTACTTTAGATATTAACTCCTGGAGAAAATCTTACATGTGTGTACAAAGGCAGCATAATAGAGTGTTCCTATTACAGCACTTTTGTAATAAGGAAATTTAGCAACAAAATAAATGTTAATGGATAGAGGAGGCCAATACATTGTGCTTGATTCTTTCTCTGTAATATCTTATAGGAGTTAGAATGAAGGAATTTGAGCTTCATGTATCAACACAGATAGTTCTTGAAAACAAAGTTCAGTGGAATAAAGAGCAAATTGAAGAATGATGTGGACATGATAACATTTTTATAAATTCTAAAATATATAAAATAACATAGGATAAAGATATATATGTAGCTAAACTATAAACTGCAAGGCAAAGATAAACAAAATTTTTTACCCTTAAGAGAGGATAGAGAAGGGGAATAACAATTAAGGGAAAGTTTAAAAGAGCTTTGGCAACTAAACCTTTTATCTTTTATTTTTCAATAACCTGAAATATTGCAAAATACTAAGATTTGACAAAAATGGGTAGAGGCCCCATGGATTTTGATTACCTTATATGCTATGCTTTTTATGTGTTTGAAATATTTCATAGTATATGTGAAATGTCTTTAAAATGCAATACTACATGTTCAATTTGTATGAAGTAAAATGTAATTTTCTCTTAAAAAGAAATTGTTTGAATAACATTGCTTTTTCATGCTGCCTTTCTCACACACTTTTAGTTGCTTCATGTGCATGAGATCTTCCTTGATTGTCATTACAACTGGGAACTGGTAATCTGGTGCATCTCGTTAACCCTTTTCCTCCTAAGATTTGTTACCCTTGGATCAGAAACAAGTAAAAAATATAGCAATACCTCAATATTACTTACTGAACAGGTGAGAATACATGTTTATTATGTTGTAAATTAATGTCTGTAGGGTACACATGAAACTAAAATGTTTTCTTTTACTTCAAGTTATTGAGGAACCTATGTTACTAGATTAAGACCATTTCTGTCATAAAGCAAAACTTGAAATTTGATGGGACACAAGCCTTTCTTCAATGTTCCCGCCTTGATGTAGAATTCAAATATAATCTGTTTTTTGTCCCATTTTCATTTAACAAGAAGAACCGTTTATAGAAATGATGGATTTTAAACCATTTATGGGGGGTATGTTTGCTTTCCAGTAGAGCAGAGCCATGTTTGAATAAGTATGAATGTATGAATTTTTATTCAGTAGAAAGGATAAAACATAATAATGTTGATGATTAACTTTATTTTGTATGAGTTTGTTTAATGTTTTTCTTACCATTCTATAGGAGTTATTCTAAGAAACTTAACTGCCAGTGAACTTATTGAGTATTTTTGTCAGTGATAGTTTGATTTAAAAAATTGGTAACCTTATCAAATGAGCTCAGTTAAATGAAAGAGGAAAGTAGCAAACAAACCAATTGAATTATTTTAGTTATTATTTATTTTTTAGGTTGGTTTGTTTCTGGGTTTTAAAGTATACCACCTTTTAAGTAATGATATCCAGTTTTCCTTACTTGTTGTAGCTTTTAATTATATTTTAAAAACTTACATGGTTATTTTCTTCTAAAATAAATTTGTTGTAGGAAATTTGGAATATACAGAAAAGTATGAAGTATATCAATACTAATATCAAAACCAGAGAACTACTATTAACATTTCAGTGAATATCTTTCCATTTCTTTTAAAACTGAATATTTGTTATAATTTTAAATATTTTTAACTTTTCTTTTTATAAAAGATAAACCTATACTTGAAAATGGAAAAGAAACCTAACAAAAAAGAGGAACTGACACTAGTGAATAATGTTTTGAAACTGGCTACTAAACTGCTAAAGGTAAAAATAAAATTAAAAATGGATATAACATAGAATATGCTGTTCTGACATTGTATCTCTCTTTTGTTTGTAGATCCTACCTTGTATTTGGTTTTTATGAATATCCATATTATTTCCAAATTATATTTGAGCACATTCACACAATTTACATTTTACTTCACACTGCAAAACTAAACAAAGTAATCCAGATTATTTTTATTAGGAAATTTTAAGACTTTTAACAATGGTTAGAATATTGTAGCATTGGCATCTTTGGAAATTTTTGCCCCCTAAAACAGATTGCAAAAAATTTAATGTTAATTTGGAAATTTTTTTATTTTGTATTTCTCAGAGCAGTCTTCTTGCTTGGCCTGTGTTAGCTTAAAAAGTAGTAACACATAATCATTATAATATATATTACCAATAAACACTTATATTTTCAAATCATTTGTGGTAATAATCAAAAAGAATATAATTTCAATATATCTGATCTCATAACTCGGTCAGTAATTTAATAAAATATTTTTTCACTGCTTTTCAGTGTTAGTAATTCTTTTTTTCTTAAAAAGAATTTTTGTAATTCTCAATTTTTATAACAAATGAAGTATAATTCTTAGAGTTGTTTGTAAGTGTTCAGAAAATAGTATGAAATTAGTTGTGTCTCAGTATTATGGTTAATTCTTTAAAATGTATTGATTTGGTATAGATTGCACCTGACAGCATAATAGGCATTGAAAGGGTTCAGAAGAGGATGGTGGGTTTGTTTTATACGTGTATATTGAATATCTTCAGAGTGTAGGCACTGGGATAGACAGGAATAAGCTATGAAGAGGAGATTTAAAAGCAGCTTCTATCTCAGTGTAGAGAGGAATATAAAAAAACTAAAATACAAAGCAGAACAGCATGATCCTCTTTGATCATGCAGTCTTTTAGTTAGAAACCTGGGACTTAATATAAATTGCTCCTTCTCTCTCATTGTTCACAACCAAGAAATTCTCTGGCACATTGTTTCAACCTCTCAAAGATCTTCCAATTCATCCCCTCTTCCCTATCAATACTGCCCTAAGTCAGACCCTCATCGTTTCTCAATTAAACTTTAGATACACTGAACCCTTAAGGTATTCCTGTTTCTGGTCTCACTGCTCTCTCATCCATCCTCCATATTGCTGACCCGGTGATCTTTCTCACATGCACATCTGATATGCTACTCCCCTAATTAAATTCCTTTAGTGCCAGTCTGTCAATACAGTCTGCCTAAGGACCCTTACTTATATAAGTAGCCGATGTATAAGTTTAAAGTAATTCTTCCCTTGTACTTGGGCTCTAAAAATGCTGAGCCACTTCTGACAACCCAAAGGTAACTTGTTCTCAGATGTCTTGATAGAATACCTACTCTCCCTTCTCACTACGTTTCAGAAGCACTTTCCTGTGTGGTCCACTGCCTGTTGTACATACCTCTTTTGTGGAACTCTGATAGTTTAATTACTCATTTGCATGTCTATTAGACCGTAAGGTCCTTCAGCGCAGAAACTGAATCTTAACTTCCCAGAACCTAGCACATGGCCTGGCCTAAAATAGAACTGTAGCCCTGGCTGGTTGGCTTAGTTGGTTCAAGCATCATCCCGTACACCAAAAAGGTTATGGTTTGATTCCTGGTCAGTGCACATACCTGGATTGAGGGATTTGATTCCCAGTCAGAGTGCACACAGGAGGCAACTGATGGATGTTTCTCTCTCACATCAGTGTTTTTCTAAAATATCCATAATTTATAACTGTTTCTTGAAACAGTTTCTTAAAAAATTCTCATTGTTCTTTTTCTAGGAGTTGGACAGTCCCTTTAGGTTATATGGGCTCACAATGAACCCACTGCTTTATAACATCACCCAAGTTGTCATCCTGTCAGCCGTTTCTGGGGTTATCAGTGACTTGCTTGGATTTAATTTAAAGGTAAGAACTTACAGGTATTTTTTTATTATTACTTAGTGGCCTGTTACATTTTTGTGACTTTTTTTTACCCTAGCACTCTCTTAAGATCTCACATGTACAATAATGGAATCATTTTGATAATACTGTTTATAATTAATGAAAATAATTTCACATTTAATTTCAAATAATGATAAGCATTCTTGGTTTATAATACTATTAAAATTTCTAATTTGGAATAGTATTTATTACAAATAGAACTCTATAAAATAAGTGGAGGTATTTCTTTTTACTCATATGAGTCCAGTTTAGGTGATTAAAAAAAAGAAAAGTGCCCTATTTCTTTTTTCTTTTCTTTTTTTTTTTTTTGGCCAAAAGTTATATTATTTATCTGTATAGCAGTGATTATATCCTTGCTATATGTTCAGCTGTTAATGAATAATGTATAGACTATTCACATTAAACTAGTTGTGTATGTATATTGCCAATTCCCTGTAAAAGAAAGCAAGAGAAATCTGAATTTCACTTTGCTTGTTTAAGGTGAATTTTTCTTGAAAACAAAAGGATAAAAGTTTTAAAAAGTAGAACATATACTTGTTTGTGAATGAAACTTAGATAAAAATAGTATTCTGTGATATAATTTAATAAGTTGTGATATTAAAATTGGCTCTAATGGCCACTACTTCTATTATTTTTTCACTAGCTGTGGAAGATTAAATCATGACAATTCAGAGAAAAAGAAGATATAGCCTCTTTTCCGGAATAAGAGTACCAACTTAGCTGCCTGAACGTAGTCACTGAGTCTTTGCTTCAGCAGTCTCAGCTGGGAAATTGAAGTGTTTACATCACACTGTCTTGTGCAATCCTTATATTTATTTTACTTGTTCACTGTTTTTTTACATTTACTTTAGTCTTTATATTTTGTTTTTAGCATTGATGTGTACTTAGTTGTTGATGAAAAGGGTGATAAAACTGATATCCAGATACTTGAGATCCTGGTAATTGTTCATAAATAATTGACAAAACAACAAATTGTGAGAATAGAAGCCATCACTAAGCACTGTTTCTCCATCAATGCCGTGAACTTGCCTTACTTGAGAAAAACTTCTTCAATTTTGGAATAATTGCATGGGACTCAGCTTAACCCATAAAACGTTTTCTTCAGTAAATCAAGATCCAGTCAGGGTTTCTCTTGAATTATTTTGGGACGATGCCAGGATCTAAACTGATTAAGCTGCAGTTAAGCACCCTTCAGTATTAATATATATGGTATTACATAACAGGTCAACAAAGTGCTCTTTGATGATAAAACTCTTAATAGAGCAATAATTGTAAATGGTTACCATACTGTAAGATATTTTGATAAAAATTTACTAGTGATAATTGTATTTATTTGAAACACTGGGCTGTTTGCACAGCTCTAACTGTGCATGCTCAAAATGTGCACTTTTTAAAATTGTTACTTTTAATGCGTTTCTTTATATGGGATATGTTATAGTGTACTAGGGCATGATATGGTATCTTTTTGAGTGAGGTATATACTCATCTCACAAGTGAAGTGCCTATTGATATTACTAAAGTACGTTATGTTTACTCAAGTAAAATATTTTTCTCCCCATGGTACGCTGTAGTGTATGCTCTTCATACCACACTCAAGTGAACAACTTAAGAACCAATAAAATATTCCTCTTATTGATAGTTATAAAAGTACTGTACACCCAAATTTTCAGAAGAGGCAACCTCAGCTTGCAAATTGTATCCTCTAAACTTAATCTGGTATATCCCCTCCTCCCCATCATCACCCAGTTATATAAGGGCTATTTTAGATGTTTTTAACCTGGAAAATTAACTCATCGCACCAATCCCCATCACAACCCCCAGATAATTTGCCAAGTGTCCAAATGAAAACTTACTGTGTTGGCACATTAGGTAAATAGGGCAAATATGATGGTATCTTATTAGGCCTTGATTTTAAGTTGTTATATTTGTACAATCAAGCATATTTTAGAAAATAATTGAAACATGAAATGTATTGCAATTCTTTTTAAACTGGGCATCTAGTTTCTAAAACAATTTATTTGAAGCAATTTAGATTTTTCTTGGTGCAAGGTGTATCATGTTGAATATCCTCACATTTTTAAAAACATTTTAGGGATTTTAAAATAATGAATTGTAAAATTATGTATTTGATTGGTGCAGTTTTAATCCCCAAATCATAATATTAAGATTGGGAATGTGTAGAGAACAGAGCCATGTCATGATGTCACTGTGTTCTTACCATTCCTTTTCATCAGCCTCAGTTCAGCTGCTGTACTATATTTTTTTCTGTAGAAAACAACAAAAACATTTTGTTTTATTTGCCTATGTTCTAGTATGTTTAATAATGACCAAAGTGCATTCTGAGTTTTTTAAAGGAATGTATTACTGGAGCTTTAAGAACATACTTATTTTCTCATGTGAAAAATTAGGCTTTGTCTGATATGTTTCTTCTTCCTCTATTGTCTGATGTTGAGGTTGTTTTTAGGAATTATATTTTATAAACTTTTTCAAAATAAGGTACAAAGCTATTCAAAACTTAACATTTGCACAGAATATGTCAAATATATTTTGAGAAAAAAAGTACAACATGAGTTCTGTTAGAATAAAAGAGGAAAGAAATTATTGTATCACAAAAAAACTTATTTCATAATGAAATTATTTTTGAGAAAAGTAGCTGAGTATACTGATTTAGGAGAATGCTAGTTTTGGACTGAAGTTTATTTTAACTTGGAGTTGGGAGTTGACTTATTGAGTACCGTATGCCTCTCAACAACTTATTAATAATATGTTGAATTATTTCACTAATGTGGGCAACAGTATAATAGTAAAGGGAAAAAGTTGTCATTTTAAGTAGTTCAGAGCAGTAATGGAACTGTTTTCAAAGCAGAAAAATTGACTTGCTGCCTTTAAGAATACCATGAATGTAAGAAATTAAAAGAAATTATAACATATCACATAATACAGAAAAGGCAATTCAAAGACAGAATCGTGGCAGTTGTGTGTTAACTATTTCTTTGCCACGTGTGTATTTGGAAGTTTGAACAGCAGGTTTAAAATAAAACATTCTATGACTGACAGTTAAACTAGAGGTGGTTTTTTTTTTTTAATTTTCAAGTCATATACATTTCTATAGTAATTTCGTTTGACTATAGCCTAAACTTTAGTGATAGCTTTTAGATTTGAGGGGAGTGGAAATAAATTTTTTAAAACTTCCCAACATTTCAGATTTTGTTACGATTCTCAGAACATGAAAGCATAAATAATACATACACCGACTTTATTAATGATGTTATGACATCATTAATGTTTGTGTGTTGTTTGTATTGAAATACAGAATACTGGCATATTAAAACTCATTGTCAAAAGGGTAGTGGTGTGGTTTTTTTTAATTTTATTTATTTAGTTTTAGAGAGAGGGGAGGGGAGGGAGAAAGAGAGGGAAAGAAACATTGATTGGTTGCCTCTTGTACACGCCTGACCTGGGACTGAACTCGCAACCCAGGCATGTGCCCTGACCAAGAATCAAACCAACCTCCTTTCGCTTTGCCAAATGACACCCAACCAACTGAGCTACACTGGTCAGGGCAGAAAGTGGTGTTTTTATTTTAAAAATTTTTCACATGAATTCAGCCTACATCATAGTCAATAATAAGATAAGTAGGCATTCTGATTCGTTCAAGTGTTTATAGGACTTTAATCAGGGACTCATGATTCAAGTGCATTTTCAAACTTCAAACTTAGAAGGCTGTTCTAATGTTTCCTTTCAGACTTCAAAGTAGAGCACTATGATTGGCATCGGCACCTCTTTAATTTGCTATGTCACTTAGAACAATTCTCAACCTTTCTACTGCCAAGGCTATGTAAAGGATGCCACAAATATTTATCAATAGCACTGACTCCCCACGGTGCTTTACTTCCTGTGGAGTAGACTGCAGTTCAAATGGTAGTATAGGTATACTTTCAAAAAAGTATTCCCTAAGGAATTTGGAAAATTTGTCCTACCTTTCACTTCTCACCTCATTGAGAATTAGTCTTAAGACAGGAGTTATAGAATGTAAATTCAATGAGATTTTCATTGTACTTACTACTGTATCCCCAGAACATTAAATGTAGTGCCTCATACATAGAAAAATCTCAACCTATTTACTGAATTAATGAGTGGATGGGTGGATGAAGTCAAATATGACCTTAGACACCACCTAGTCCAAAGTCCTCATTTCAAAAGGTGAAAAATCTAAGGCCACAAAGAAGCTTGCCTAAGGTTGCACAACTAGTTAGTTAATGATAGAACCTACACTCTCCTTTATTCCGTTGAAGATTTATTCTGTAATAGTACATCCGTACCCCTTGACTGATTAAAATACTTAATCATAGGCAAATTATGGAGTGAAAAAGGATATTGTTAAATTATCTACCCATATGTCAATGAGCTTATATATAAACTAATAAGCCTTGAGCTGGTGGATCAGGGGTCCAACATTTGTGTGCAGATAAACTGGGAACAATTGGGGAGTGAGACAGACTGCAACCCAGGGCTCCACTGCAGGAAGCTAAAGACTCAAAACCTCTAGCTCTAAAAACCTGTGGGGGTTGGGGAGGCAGGAGAAACTCCCAGCCTCACAGGAGAGTCCCTTGGAGTGACCCACGTGGCCCTAGAATGTACACACCCACCCACCCAGTAATCAACACCAGAAGGGTCCAATTTGCTTGCGAGTATTGGGGGTAATGACTGAAAGCCAGCAGAGAGCCAAGCAAACAGCATTGTTCCCTCTCTGGCCCCTCCCCCACATACAGCATCACATACAGCAACCTGAGTTGCCCCACCCTGGTGGATACCGAAGGTTCTGCTTATAGCATAACAAGTGCACCAAGACAAAGAATATGGCCCAAATGAAAGAACAGGTCAAAGTTCCAAAAATAGAATGAAGAGACTATGAGGTAGCCAACCTATCAGATGCAGAGCCCAAAATACTGGTAATCAGGATGCTCACAGAAATGGTTGAGTATGGTCACAAAATGGAGGAAAAAGTGAAGGCTATGCAAAGTGAAATAAAAATATACAGAGAACCAACAGTGAAGGGAAGGAAACCGAGATTCAGGTCAACGATTTGGAGCAGAAGGGAGAATTAAACATTCAACCAGAACAGAATGAAGAAACAGTTCAAAAATAATGAAAAGAGGCTTAGGAACTTCCAGGACAACTTTAAACATCCCAACATCTGAATCACAGGGGTGCCAGATGGAGAAGAGGAAGAGCAAGAAATTGAAAACTTACTTGAAAAAATAATGGAGAACTTTCCCAATCTGGAAAAGGAAATAGACTTCCAGGAAGCCCAGAGAATCTGAAAGAAATTGGACCCAAAGAGGAACACACCAAGACACATCATAATTAAGTTATGCAAGATTAAAGATAATTTTAAAAGCAGCAAGAGAAAAGGAGACAGTTACCTACAAAGGAGTTCCCATAAGACTATCAGCTGATTTCTCAAAAGAAACCTTGCAGGCAAGAAGGGACTGGCAAAAACTATTCAAAGTCATGAAAGGCAAGGACCTACATCCAAGATTACTCTCTCCAGCAGAGCTAACATTTAGAATGGAAGGGCAGATAAAATCAAGTTAAAGTTCACCATCACCAAGTTCTCACTATAGGAAATGTTAAAGGGACTTATCCAAGAAAAAGAAGGTCAAAACACACTATGAGCAGTAAAATGACAACAAACACAACTATGAACAAGTGAACCTAAAAAACATAAATGATAATTAAGCAAACAACTAGAACAAGAACAGAATCACAGGAATGGAGATCACATGGAGAGTTATCAGTGGAAAGGAGGGAGAATGAAGAGAAAAGGTACAGGGAATAAGAAGCATAAATGGTAGGTACAAAATAGACAGGGGGAGGTAAAGAATAGTTTAGGAAATGGAGAAGCCAAAGAACTTACATGTATGACTCAGGGGCAGGGCAGGGTAGGGGGTGGGAATCCTGGTGGGAGGAAGGTGCAGGGCGGAGGGGAATAAAGAGGAGAAAAAAAATGGAACAACTGCAATAGCATAATAATAAAGAATAAACATAAGCTTTGGCAATAGAAAAAGTAAATTTATTTGACATCTCCCTGATTCAACTCTGTAGTGTAGCCTGTGGAAAAAACATGCTTTGGAGTCAGACTTGTTTTCAATCTTGAGTAAGTTATTTAATTTCTGTGAGCTTTGGTTTTCTCAGCTATAAATTACTGAGAGTAATACCTATCTTATAGGGCTATTAGGAGGATTAATGAGATTACAGGTAACGGACTTACCACAGGAAATGACATGTATTGGTTGTGCAGAAATATTGGTGATTCTCTTTCCCTTTCAAGTAAGTAATCACCTAGAACAAGTTACAAACATTTCCAAGCAAAACCATTCATATTACATAAGATGTGTGTCCCTGCCAAATATGAGATATAATTAAGAATCATCCTTCATACAAATGATCATGCATGATCTTTTGCAAGGAATGGACATTTAATTCCTTTTCATAAACGGGCATGCAAAAATGTGGAAGACAAGTTTTTCTTTTTTAAGCCTACATATTATATCCCATTATGAATAATTTTACTAAAACCACAGGTGCATATTCCATTCATATCTTTATTACTAGATTTCTGTCTCACTAATAACATCCTAGAGTCTCTTTATCTTCTGCCTGGTCTCAACCCTCAACCTTAAGTTGTCTGCTTTGAGTTGATGGAGAGTATTGGACTTGACTTTCTACCAGTCATCTTTATCAAGATATTCCTGGAACTTCTGATCATAGGCATTTTGAAAATAAATCTCTTGTCCATTTATATACTCCCTACAATGGCTCTACTAACCTTATCCTCAAGCTCCTAATCCCTCTCATTCTCTATTAGCATTTTTCTTCTCTGACTTTACTGAAAAGATAATCATTCACACATGAATTCATCATCTTCTCCCTTCAGCTCTGTGGAAGAGATGTTGATCTCTGACACCCGCTCCCTATCAGTGCTCAGGATTCTGTTCCTGCCATTCTGTATGCTTCGTCCTCAATTTCCCCGCTGCCATCATTTTTAACCTTTTCTTTCCTGATTTTATATTATCAACTATTTAGATTTCAATGAGAAGTGCTTGAATCTAGAGTATGAGAGCACTAATTAAGGTTTATAGGTTGATGGAACCATTGTGTACTAGGTGGCACAATAAAGATTATCCACACTCTTCACTCTCATCTAATTTTGCCCAATTCTCCATTGTGTACCTGTGGATGCAGCCTGTTGTTCCAGTATTTCTCTTCTCCAACCAAGTGGCATGTGCTTTAATGACAGATGTCTGATTGGTGGGTGG